TTGTGTCTGCTACTCTCAGAAACATAATATTAATAATAAACATGTTTTTCTATACTATTGTAGTTGTAGATGTAAATTAAATCACAAATCAATCATAACAAAAAAGGATCCTCTCATTATTTGTTTTTTTGTTTAAATGTTATACACCCTCATCATAATTTAGATCATTTAAAGGCCAACCTTGGCTGAGACAGATTGCACGACAACATCCCAGCAGAAACTTACAAACACAAAGATACTCAATAAAATAGATTTCCCAATGCGGGAATCAAACTCTCATCTTTTGATAGCAGCAACGGAAAGCGGAAATTAACTAACGCATCACAGTTTGAGTGTGTATAAAATAATAATACGACTCCTCTGTTTCTGAAGGACTATAAAAAGTGACACACTGGGGACAGAAACAGGTTGCGACATGACGAGTGAGGTACACATACCACTCTACACAGTTGGTGGCACTTTGTGCCCCAGAAACCAGTCTACAACTAGTACATTTCTCTTTGGAAGGCAGATGTGTCTCTAATATTACACACCATTACATTTGACGCCACCATCTGATAGATCTGATCGATCAAAATGGGTAATACTTCCTACAAAAAAAAAACCCCAAATAAGCAAAGAAAGGAAGGAATAGTGTATACCTTACGAAAGTACCAAAATGCCACTAATTCTGCTTGGTCTTCGAGCTCGCCTTCTATTTTTTTTCGGGGACAAAACTTTTATAAACTTTATAAATTATAGAGCTTGCAAATAACTTGATTAAAAATTTTTTAAAAAAAAGGAAAACATACTCTGCATGAGTTCTGATGACAATCTTCTGCATAGATTTATGTGAATGTGATAATGTATTTAAACCAAGCTACTTCATTCAACTTCTTCCAATGTAACATTTTAAAGCATAAAGACAAAAGTTGTAATGCATTCAATCATCTATCATGGTACCGCATGAAGCAGCAGTGGATCTATAACATATAAAAATATGTAAGGTACTGTGATGTCCATTTAAACCGAACAAGGTTAAACCGAAAACAGCGGCAAACCAAAAGAAAAGAAAATCTCGGATTTTTCCTTCTTTGTCTTTGTAAGAACGCCATCAATAAAGCGAAACACTCACATTTCTGAATCGAAAAGAATTTAGGTGGTTATGTTGGCAAAATCTTCACTAGCACTGCTAGTAGCAGCCCTCACATAACGCAATTACAGGCCAGGGAAAAGTATTGTCAGTGTAGTATGGGTCTAGGTTTATCACACGTATCAATAGGTTTACACATTATGTAAACACGAAGTGACGCCAGGAGAGCCAATGTACGTCTTTTGGGCAACCTTGGCCTATTGTCTCTGAAGGAGTTCGTTCGTATATGCCCTAATAATTATAAATAGCATTTGTATAGCGCATGTTCCCACTCCAAAGCAAGCTCTATGCACTCAACACTATATTATCACCCCAGCAGACCATAGAACACTCAGAGACATTCTCAGCTTCCCAGGAATCATGCAGTGCAAGCAGCTGGTTAAGCGCTCAAAACAGTAACAAACTGACAAGATTTTTCTGTCTATAGCTGGGTACCCATTCCCATCTGGGTGAAGTAGGGAAAATTCATGTAAAGTGTCTTTCCCAAGGACACAACATCAGGCCAGCGGCTCGAACCCCCGAACCCGCAACCTCAGGATTAGGAGTCCGGTAGCTAAACCACTAGGTGTGATGCATGTGACGGCACGTGGTGTGTTTCATGATGTCACCACAGGCACTGGGCTTTTTCACTTCTCTAGACTACCGTAGACCACAGTACAGTGTGCAGTACAGAGTGCTAATCTACTCTTTTTTCTGTTCTGTGCCACTGTTCGATAGAAAAAAACAACCTGACAATGGCGAAGAAAAAGCACAATACTTACAGCCTACAATCCAAATTGCAGTCAAAAGAGGTAGATGAGAAAAAAAAAATTTTTCAAGTGAAATTTGCTGCAGGCAAAAGAGGTAGATGAGAGGGAACAAATTTGTAAAGTGAAATTTGCTGCATGTACCACATTCTCAACTAACACTATCCACAATGATCACCAACTGAGCCACCCTCTCCAAACCAAGAACACACTACACAGCTAAACCAAAGAAAATCCAGCGGTCCTGCAGATTCTGGTTTAAGCAGATTCCACAGTAAACTAATGGCCCAGTTGTCAGTAAGAAAGCAAATGAAATACACTGAATTTGGCCCGTATAATACAGAGGAACTCGGATTTAACGAGCTCAGATTCAACGAGAACTCGGATTTAACGAGATTTTAGGTCAGGCCTGACGAACTCGTTGAACTGTAATGATACATCTTAGAAGTAAAAAGCATAATTTCCAGTAGTTTCTAAACTATTCCCTTGTTAATGAAATAATAAAATGATTTCAACTTTCAACACCGTGCCCATTTCTACTAGACCACACAAACAGAATATCATTAGACTAACATGAAAGGAAACACCATCTCCACTCATTCCAAGCATAAGAGCCTACGATGAGAATACAATAAGGATTGACACACAATCTCCTTTCAAGAGGAAGGAAAAGTGATACAATTTACCTCCATTCTAAACTAAAATGTTCTTGTATAGCAATAGATCTCGAATACAGCCACAGATTTTGATACAAATTATGAAAAGTAAACTGTTATGTTGCATTCCAACACATTCATCAAAGGTTAGTCTACACATATATATGCACAAAGCATTCTATGGACATTTTGCATAGGATGACACTCAAAATACTCACCTTGATGAAATTCAAAATCAGTTACTATACATGTACACAGATAAGGTATTGCTCTTTAATAAAGCTTATTTCTACATTCAACATTACAAAATCCTGAGAAGTGGTTGTATTTTCAGACATCAGTGACTAAGACAAAACATATGACGTGAGGAAGCACCAGTTAAGAATTATAAAGTTCCTTATCTTTGTAAGCAGCCTGAACATCTGCTGTTCAAACTGCATACAAAGCAGGAGATATGCCCCTCAACAAATGCAGGAGATTGGCCATATAGTAAAGTTCCCTTCAAATAACTAAGGAGAACGGGTGGTACGGCTCTTTTTTTTTCTGAAACAACTTTCAGAGGCACCACAAGCCAGGCTTTCACTATGAGAGTGTTTATGATATGTATATTTTTAAAAAAAAATTAACTCTGATTCTGATGCTAAGTCAAAGAAATCTGTATAGACTGAGTAACTGCATAACAAAAAAAACATGCTATGATAAAGCATCTCAATGGGTGAGAAATTTTTCTAAAAAGTAGGCTCTATCGTGGTGCCCTCCTCTTCCTTTGAAAATCAATATAATAAGTACTTTGTACACACAAAAAAAGTTTTTAAAAAACAGCAGTCAGCTGTGAATAAATGCAACATAAGTTTAAAGCAAGAAAACTTCTTGAGAAAGAGCAAAATCCCTGTGTTAAACTAAATATTGCCTAGGCTAAGAGATGAAACGAGTGGGTCAAGGTAGATGAGTGGAATGTTGATATAGAGACAGATTGTGCAGTGAGGGAGAAGGTGACCGCGGTTTGTCAATCAACTTACTTAGGGATCAGTTATGAGACTTTTGTTTCTGCAGAAGATCTAGGGACTTGAGAGATACTGCAACTCTCAATTTATGTCTTTCCTAAGAGAAAGAAAATCTCAGATAGGGAAAGCCACCTAGATGGGTTGAGGTGATCTCCCATGACTGCGGTACCGATATGTGATACTTAGTCAGTTTCCTAAAATATGTCCCCGCGGTTTTATGCACCTCGTATAATTTAGCAAAATTTGATCATTTTTGGCATAATTTCTGATTATTTTCCTTTATCATTCTTTGTTAAAATTAACAGAATCGCATAATTTTACATTTTTGGGCTCGCTTTGCATAATTTCAGAATTTTTCTGGCATAAAACGACGGGGACAGTAAAGTATTCAAAATAAATTATTGAAAAAAATATTTATAGTATAGCATTGAGATTTTACAAATTTTCTTAAATCAACTAAGGTAACTCCTCTGAAATGATGGAAAATAATGCTTGCAAAATGATTACTAATACAAGGATTTCTCGTCCTGATAGATAAGAATTACAAAAGAACTTCTTTATAGTCGTCATTTTTCTGGGGGAAAAAAGTATCATTATGATTTTTGAATGTAGTTCCTTTGCATGGCCAAATTATAAATTCACAGGAAAAAAAACAATTTCACAAGATATTTTATTTGAATGGAAAATAGATTTGGTTTCTGCAAAGATGAGAATAACAAATGGTAATTAAAAGTAAACTGGAAGCAAAAGGGTTAGGGGTTAGAGGGTAGGGGTTAAAATTAAAATCAGTACTGCCTGTTACATTGTTTGCAGTTTGAAAACTTTTCAGAACTGCCACGAATCAAACAATATGATATCAAAGTAGTACTTTACATCTTGCTTTAAATTTCCCATTCTCGCTAAGCTTGTGAATCACCTTTTGAATCAAAATTCTCTCGAGATTCTTATCTCAGCATTTCTTTTATTGAATTGACACTTTCCACCCACGCAGCGTGCAGAGCGCGCAACACTTATCCCCACGGACCAGGATACAGATGCGGTACGCGCTATATCACACGAGCGCCGATCGGTGTCCCGCGGGGAAAAGGTACAGCTTCTTACCGTCGCCGATCCGCGTCCCGTGGGGGCAAAGCATTAAGACTGTAATTTTCCTCTTGCAAATTTGAATTTAGAAATGATTAACAGACCGAGTGGTTCTGAAATAGAGCTGTTCGATTGATCTTAAGAAAAACCGAAAAAGAACACATCACACCACTATTAATAAACTTAATGGTACTTTGGCAAACTGTTAAAGCTAGAATCAATTATAAAATAGCTCTTTAATGTCTTAAGTGCATGAACAACAAAGCACTGAGTCATAAATTAGAAATTTCCAATATTATCATTAGTATCATTATTATTATTATTATTATTATTATTATATATTATCTCTATTATTATTATTATTATTTCTATTATTATATCATTATTATTATCAATAAGAATTCCAAATTAAAAGAAAAACCTGTCCACAAAATTTTGAGTTTTGTGTGCCAGCTGCGGTTCTCCTTCAAAAGTTAAAGTCACCCCAAAAAAAAAAAAGTCAAAAAGAGGGTGGAGGGGTAGAAAAACAAGGTAACTTTTTGGGAAAGGTTTAGTACAATTCTTCAACTCCCAGACAACTGAGCAGTGGCCATGGCGCTGGCCAGAGACGGGAGATCTCCTTCTGCCTGCGGTGGGGAAACCTCCACCTCTGACGGGTCCGACAGACATATGTCTGACATTTGTTCTTCTGTTCCCTTTGGTTCTTGATTCGGGTTCGGCGCTTCTGCGATGCCCTGTTCACTCCCTGAGTCAGAGGACAGAAAATCCTCTTCAAAACGAGACAAGTGCAAGTTGTCTCCTAGAGGAGTCAGTTGCTCATCGTACATACTCCCCTCAAAGCTTGAATAAAATCCAGAAGGGGTCGTAGCATTTTCAGGAAGAACCCTGAATCCTGTTGGGGTTTGAGGATTTATAGACCCATCCCCACCTTCAACTCTCAAAAGTGAATCATCTTGTGTCTCACATTTCTCTAGCGAATCATTCAAAATTCTGCTACTGAGTTGTGAATCCATACTTCTGGATTGTGATAAAGAATAAATGTAGAGAGGATCTGCTTTGTCAAGAGACTGAACTTTGCGTAATGTGCCCCTGTTGAAGGACTTGATGGAATAAGCTTGTGCGATATCCTTCAGGTGGGGAGAGCTCTTGTCTTTGGTTTCAGCACGTCTTAGGCTCGACGTGCGATCAAACCTGCGTACAGATTCGTTGAGAGCTTTCAAGGTGCGCAAGTCACTTTCCTCAAATGCAGCAAACAACTCTTTGATGGTGATTTGACAAACTCTGTTCTCTAGATTGGGGAAGAAAGGAATGAAAGAAAAATTAGCTTGAGAACAAAGGAATAATCACATGGTTTATAATACAGTGGAACTCAGATTCAACGAACTTGGATTCAATGAAAGAAAGGAGATAGAAGTCACGTTTAAAAAAATCTTTAAAATAAACAAAAGAACTTGGATTTAACAAACACATAAATGAGTGAATCCAGATTCAACGAAGTCGTTTGAAGGGCTAGTCTAGTATAGATGTAAATCTATATATATATGTATATATAATGAACTGCGAGCTGGTGTGTGAAAACAGACGTCGCCATATACTTGGCCCTGTGATGCAGCTTGTTATTCATTGATGACTTTTTGTTTTGTTTTAGTAAGTGTTTTACGGCACTTGCAACACAATAAGGTCATATGAGTGCCAAAGATTAGAGGCGTTACAAGGGAGTAACAAACACAAAAAAGAAAGAGGGGAGAAAAAGAGGATAGATGTTTGATAGGAAAGAAGAAGCAAATCACACTAGAGCATCATTGCCGACGACTTCGTTATATCCCAGTTTCACTGCAGTGGCTCATGGGCAGTCAACAGGAACAAAACCACAATCTTAAGTTGGTATCCATGACATACTAGTAAAAAGGAAAAAGAGTCATGTTTTTTTAGTAGAGGTTTTAACGGCGTTCGCAACTGCATAAGGTCATATGAGCGCCAGATGATTAGAGGTGTTACAAGAGAGTAACAAACACAAAAAAGAAGGAGGGGAGATAAGGACGATAGATGTTTGATTGGAAACAAGAAACAGACCACATCAGAGCACCAGCCAACCACCCACTGTGTAATGTGAGTAATCACTTTCCAATCCATATCTTCATGTTAAAACAACCACACACACACACACACACACACACACAAATACATACACACACAAAGGAGAACATAATTTATATGTCATACAGCCCAATGCAGCACTATACGGTCGGTCTTAGATCACACCTCCCCAGCCTGCACCCACCCACCCAAACATGATTAGACTGCAGGAAGTTCTAGTGCCTTATACTATATACACTACCGGTATAGGTAATGTGCGACGATGCATCTTGATACCAGAAGTGTGTTTTTTGTTTTAGTAGAGGTTTCACGGTGCTCGCAACTGCATAAGGTCATATGAGCGCCAGAAGATTAGGGGTGTTACAAGAGAGTAACAAACATAAAAAAGAAGAAGGGGAGATAAGGGCGATAGATGTTTGATAGGAAAGAAGAAGCAGACCACACCAGAGTACCCACCAACCACCCACTCCAGAAGTGTGCATATCGAGCTGTGAGGGGGCTGGTTTGGTGGCATCATGTGATCTGATTCTCTCTCTCTATGATGATGGGTTTGTTGTTTTTCATTGTGTGCGAGGGTGATTTTTGAGACAAGGAGAGGAAAAAATGTTAAGGTTTTTTTTATTTTAATTTTTCGAGACAAGCTGTTCGACAAATTTGGGTGTTTGAGAAAAATGAAAAAAAACCAAAAACCCAGTGGTTCAGTCGGGGAATGGTATATTATTGTACGAGTTATCCATGATTTCAAGATTTGGGAGTTCGTGTTTTCCGTGCCCGACAGTATTCAATGAATTACATATAAGTAAAAAGACTGTAAGGTCAATGACTCCGAAAGCTTACCATTTCTATCTTGCGTAATAACTGGTCTCTGCCTCTGAGCTTTTGCCTCAGCTTCATTGAGTTTGAACGTAGTAGCCATCAGGAGAGCTTGCATAGCTGGATCCTGAAAAAGAACTCAAATTATTGTTTTGTATAAACAAGAAGCTTTGGTTGGCATACGTCCAGGCTCCTGTTATATATCATGATTTTGGGGAAGCAATTTCCTTTTGGATGCAGTATCAACAGAGCCTTAAAGACAGGTTTTTCACCAAAATACGAAAATCAAAAACATCAAGTTGTTTCAAGCGCAAAAGTTGATAAGTTTTTAGCCCACTCATTAACAACTTTTTCAAATTATGATGCACAAGCTAGGCTCTTACCCATAGCAATATAAATGAGGATTATTAATATTATTATTATTATCTGTCCCCATGGTTTTATGCACCCCGCATAATTTAGCAAATTTGATAATTTTTTTGCATAATTTCTGATTATTTTCCTTTATCATTCTTTGCTAAAATTAACAGAATCGCATAATTTCACGTTTTTGGGTTCACTTTGCATAATTTCAGAATTTTTCTTGCATAAAACGACGGGGACAGTATTATCAATGAGAAGAAATATGTCTTTCCAGTGGCACGCTTCACTACACCGTACCTCCATTAACCTTTGAAGCCCTATACCCACCTGTGTGAGGTGTACCGGCAGTTGCTCGTGTTTGTTGGAGATCCTCGGTTCCGCTCCCGCTTCCAGAAGCAGTTTCACAACCTCCAACTGATTTCGCTTGACAGCTTCATGGACAGCAGAGTTCCCTCTCCCATTGGTCACGTTCAAGCGAGCTTTGTTCTGCCAGACAAGAAGGAAAAGGAGCATTATGAGCACATTCTACAAAAGAGTGACAGAAACAACATAAAGTGATAAGAACAGTTAGCCAGATACCAACGACATTTAATTTGTGTTCAAAGTAGGCTACACAAAAGAAGTACGTACCAGAAACTAAATTTAAAATATAAACAACTTACAACATCGTAACGAGGAAAAACTGAACTTTTACAAGGTGTACAGCATTTAGTGTTTTATAGCGAAAGAGCAAAGAAACAGTGATCTCAATCACCCCGCTTTCACCGAAATCACATGCTTGGAAGGTCGCCAGGCTGTGTTTACGCTACCTAAAAGAAGTCGTAAAGAGAGACTAATAGAGACACATGCTGTGACAGTGTGATGAGTCTTAGTATTATTGAAATAAAGAAATTCTTGAATTTATAATAACGTTCTTTTCTACAACACCAAAAACCAAAAAAAAAAAAAAAATGTTAGTCTATCATATTACATCAACTGAAGAGATCAGATCGACCAACCTGAATAAGCATCTTGACACCATTAATGAACCCATTGCTGGAAGCAATCAGAAGAGGCGTGTCTCCATTCATATCCTGAGCATCCAACTTTGCACCACCCCGCAACAGCATGTCAGTGATCTATAAAGGGAGAGAACGTCAATAAGACAGCATGTCAGTGATCTATAAAGGGAGAGAACGTCAATGAGACAGCATGTCAGTGATCTATAACAGGAGAGAGCGTCAATGAGACAGCATGTCAATGATCTACAACGGGAGAGAACGTCAATGAGACAGCATGTCAGTGATCTATAACGGGAGAGAACGTCAATGAGACAGCATGTCAGTGATCTATAACGAGAGAGAACGTCAATGAGACAGCATGTCAGTGATCTATAACGAGAGAGAACGTCAATGAGACAGCATGTCAGTGATCTATGAAGAGAGAGAACGTCAATGAGACAGCATATCAGTGATCTATAACGGGAGAGAACGTCAATGAGACAGCATGTCAGTAATCTATAACGGGAGAGAACGTCAATGAGATTATATTTATCATTGTAGATTCTGCTTGTAAACAGTCTTATCATAATTGGAAAGAACCGTCTAACATGTTCACAAAGACTGAACAAAATTTGGTACCATCCCCTCCAACTTTTACAAGACCACCTTTACATTCTTCCACCCCTAGATACAGAACATGATCTACATCCATTTGAATCAAAATCACCAGCACCCTCACTTCTTTTATCACTGTTACTACTGTACACATAGTCCTGAATCAAGCCACTCTTCATCATTACACAAGCTTATTGAATGCCGAGCAATTGAGACATAGCCCTCTTCCCTGACAGAAAGCTCATTTCCTCACTTCATGCTGAAACAAATCCAATTTTTCAAAGAAAAACAACACAAGTCCTATTTAATAGACCCAGTTATTTGCAATGGTCAATTCCGAACCTGAAATATGAAGTTTTGGGCAGACAGACTGACTACTTTTAACATATGACACTATTTTTTTTCAAGAGAGTTGTCTGTTAACAATTGACCATGAATTTAACGCAGTTAGGTTTTCATGTATTCCTGATAAACCGGTAATTCCGTCAAACAGGGTTAATCAACTGATACAATAGATTTTTTTGAAGTTTTTGAAGCACCATATCGATGAACAGAATCTTTCAGGTCTGGAGGGAAAAATTATGAAATTAAAAGCGTCAAGTCAGTATAACATCCCTAAGACCTCACCATGTCTACATGGCATTGGACAGAAGGATCGATAACAACAACAACAACAACAACTCTAAGACCTCACCAAACTGTTTTTCATGCAGCAGGACAGGTGCAGAGGGGTAAGGCTTTTATGGTTGTGAGCACTGAGATCAGCTCTGAGAGCTATGAGCAGAGCCACTATATCACTGTGGCTATGGAGAACTGCCATGTGAATGGGGCTGTAACCTGTTGATGTCTTTGCATTCACACTTAGCTTGTCTTTCGAGCGCTGTGTGACCTGAAGTAAAGTCCATAAAAATATCAAATACCCAAATACTTTCGTCTCATTAAGAGGTACAACAGGCACGGAAAAGGGACGTATTTCACAATTTGAAGTAAAAACTGCTAAAAAAGAACAGCCAACACATCTTAGTGAAGAAAAGACCCGCTTTCAAAGAGGCTGGCCAGAAGGTTTTTTTCAGAGAAGACAAGCTACAAAGAAAATCTCTTTCTGATGCTTGGGAGTGGTTGAGTGGAGAGATGTAGATTTGGAGCAAGTCAGCTAACAAACAATGACGACTACTGTTTGCATGCAAACAAAAAATGAGCGAAGCTGCACAATCCAGAGTATCCTTTAACCCTATCTGTACGCCCTGGGGTAATTTTGTACCCTCAGGGTTGTATTCTTCACATTTTAGAATATTTCTAGTACGAAGATCTCTTTGAAACTTTCAAATTTCTCAAAAAATCATTTTGACAGATTGCTATGCAAAGCCTACGGATCGGATTAACCAGTAAATTTCCTCTTTAGAAAGTGGTGGCACAGGAGATCCCCATATAGTATGGATACAATATTAAAACACGACGTACAGATAGGGTTAAAATCTGCCTAAGAAGCTCAGCTACACCATAAAAAACAAGCCAGTACCGGAGGAGATAAAAACTTAAAAGTGTCTCTTACTACACTATCTCTGACAGCTGCAAAACTGAAGCTTTTTAATTTCACACAGCATTGCTAAAGTTATTGTAATTCTATTGATTCAGTACAACAATCTTCATCCCATCTGATGACATGGGGAACTCTGTGCCACCACTTAACCCTATCCGTACGTCCTGTTTTACTATCGTATCCATACGACGTGGGGAACTCTGTGCCACCACTTTCCAAAGAGGAAATTACTTGTTAATCTGATCCATACGCTTTGCATAGAAGCCTGTAAAAACGATTTATTTTAGAAACATAGAAAGTTTCAAAGAGACCTTCATACTACAAGTCTTAAAAAATGTGAAGAATACAACCCCAGGGGTACAAAATGACCCCAGGGCGTACGGATAGGGTTAATAAATCAACAATATTGTTTTACAAGAGCTTCCTACCTTTACTATCCCCCGACATTTTCCACACTGGCACAATGGGTGACACATGTCAGAGATCGACGACGACCCTGGGAGAACAACGTCAGTCTCGTCATCATCATCAGGATCTGCTACCTTTGATTGAACACCCAGATAAAATTTCACCTGCAAATGAAAAACATGTATATCCATGTCACATGCCATACCAAACTAATTTTTTTATTTTTTATTTTTGCCTTAACTTCTTTTGTCCATATATTAAAAAACATTTCCATGTGAATTTTACTGAAAAACATTGATTAAAGGCACAACATCTGTCATTTTTCAGTTTTCAAGGACTCTTTAGCTATTGGAGTTACTATACTTAACTTTCGGCACCATTCTCTCACTAATTTTACCACTGAAACCAGGTCACCTCACTTCCTTCAATTGCAAATGTTTTGAATTCTATTTAAGAGAAATGGATATTTATTTCATCGGAAACAAGGCAAATAAATCAGATTTCAGATGATACCAAAAACTCCACATGCCCAAAAATCTACCAACGTCTGATTCGAGACACATATTTAAAACACGTCAGCGGTTGGCAGAAGTGTTCAATACATCTGTATTTCGAATAAACTGTGATAACAAAAAAATCAGAGAGATACTAAAGAAAATGTGCACACATGTGCACACACATGCATGCCAAACACACGCACACACACACCTACTTGCTTATCACACGCGCACTCTTACACATCGTTACAAAATGAACACATACAATATGATACAAATACATAATAGAATAATATACACAATGCAATTCACAAAATACACAAATGGATACATAGTCATTTACAAAAAATTTCAGCAAACATGAATCTACTGATATAAAAATGATGTAATTAATTGTGTCTTTAAAGATATTTAAAATTTAGACTCAGATGTCTTCTAAGCTTGGGTTATCATGTTTTGCTTGAGGACACATCCAAGGGAACATTGATCAAATACTAAAAGTATCAACGATATATATGTTTGACATTACTGTGAGCCATCCACGGGAGCCTCTAGACTTATGAATAAACAAAAATGCACTTTTACTTTTACTTCATTTTTCCAATTCAGCCGCCATTTGAGTTCTAGCCCTTCAGCCTGAAAAAATTCCCACAACTTACCAGCTGAATATCTCCTTCAATGATGGCTTTAAACAGCTTCTCTTTTTTCCTCCTTTTCTCCGACTCATTAGCCGCTTCCAGAGACGCAGTTTCAACTCGGAATATGGATGCACTGTTCTCTGGCTCATAAATGTTGAGACTACTTTGGTGGTGTGAAAAGGTCGAAGTCGACGAGGAAGAGGAAGACCTAGATCTTGTCTTTGGACTGACGTACTAAAAAATAGAGAAGTATTCCAAGGCTCAAAGTGAAATTACTGACCTGGGTCTCAAGGTAAACAAAACTACATATAAATAGACCTAAAAATGCTATATATAAATAAGTTTTTATAGTTTTAGTAGAGGTTTTACGGCGCTCGAAACTGCTTAAGGTCATATGAGCACCAGAAGATTAGAGGTGTTAAAAGAGAGTAACAAACATAAAAAAGAAGGAGGAGAGATAAGGACAATAGATGTTTGATAGGAAAGAAGGAGTAAACCACGCCATACAAAGGACAAACAATATAAACCACTAAAGAAGGAGGGGGGGGGGGACGGGGACAGAGAAATGCCAGAGAAATGTGTACTGATATTTCATCATACTTTGAGACAAAAGGTGTGGATCTTTCTGTGGATTGTGTTTCCCATCTAAAGAAGTACACTTTTCAGGTATTAGCTCCTTCTTTGCTACAGAAAATGAGGAATCAAAATAAGGACAAAGAAAGGGCGTGAGGTAGATTTCAGAAACGGGCCCAAGAATGAGTAGCAGGCCCGTTGTCGAGGAACATACTGTGCCACAATTTTCAGTGGGTTCTGCCTGTGGCACTTTATAGGGATCCACAGTCTCAGATCTTGCTGTTTCTATGGCAAGAGGAATTTGCCAACACCAATATCCTGCAATTTGATGCAATTTGCATCTGAAAACGCACAGTTGAACCTGCTAACGGCCACCTGTATAAGACAATCACCTGTACAAAAGACCACTTCCTTTTTCCTCCTTTGTTCATTACTTACATTATAATGAAATCGTGTATAATGGCCACCTGTCTAAGATGGATTACCTCAAATAGATGCTGTTGGTTGGGCTGAGAGAGGCTCTTAATTAATTCTCCTCTATAAAACATCAAATTCCATTCATGATCCCCCCCCCCCCCGCGCCTAATATGCAATGTTTTGCTAATGTCGGATAACAAAGTCAAATAAGAAAAGAACAGGGAGTCTCAGTGTAGGTATTGTCAAATGAGAGGCTACACACAACTCCACGTAGTAGAAAGCAATCATAGGTGGAGGGAACAAAGAGAGACAGTCACATTCTTCCAAATAAAGTACACTGCTTTTGACGTAAAAGCAGGAGACATTACAATTTGATATCAGCCAGCATCGATTTATGCAAGAAAAATTCTCAAATTATGCAAACTGAGCTCAAAAATGTGAAATTATGCAATTCTGTTAATTTTAACAAAGAATAATAAAGGAAAATAATCAGAAATTATGCAAAAAAATGATCAAATTTTGCTAAAATTATGCTGGGTGCATAAAACCACAGGGACAGTGATATGTACTAAATCTGGGTATTGAACATTGGCTATCTTGAGACCAGGTAGAGAAAGATGAAGAAGAATAAGAGAAAACTGAAACACTTTTTTATAATAAAAATAAGCAAAAATGTACCATGGGTCGAATAGGTTGCAGATCCTGACCATCAGCTGCCATCTGTAGCCATCTTTGAACTTTGACATTTTGTGCTAAGGACACTGGAGTTTGCCTTTTCCTGTTGCATAAAGTCGCATCCGCACCGTTTTCCAGTAAAGCTTTAACAATGGATTCTGAAAACGAAAGCTATAACTATGTTTCAAACCATCATAAGTTTACGTCCCATGGCTTTTTTTAAAAACACCCAGTTTACGCCAAATTGGGACACAACACTGGAAATTAATTTTTTATCTCACCACACAGTAGTAACATTTTTTAAAAGTGTCAAATCAAGGTGGAAAACAACTCTTGGCATTGCTAATACATGTTCATGGTATTGATAAAGCAGGAAAACTGTTACTATAGGGGATCCGATATGATAGAAAAATAAAACTATGCGTAGTAAGTCTGTCAAAATGATATATATTTCGTGTGATCTCTTCTCTATTGATATTGAGAAGACATGATCCAATCAGTGAGGAGGAAAAAGCTTTTCCACTAGAAACACTTGAAACATTGTGTGCTTTTAGATTTCCTAGACTTTTGCCTTCCTCCATTTGAGCGAACAACGATCCTTATTTCAATCAACTTGATCATTTCTTGAGACACTTTCAAAGCACAATGCATCTGATTACAGGAAACACATTTTAAAGTATTACAAACCGACTCACAATACATTAAATGCATTAGCCTTGAATTATTCATATTTATTTAACCACAGATGAAAATAAATTCATGCTAGCAAATCAAGCCAAATGTCACTTAGGTTTACAATTCTGAAGGTTTTAAAATTTGTGCCACTTCACTTGTAAAAAGTGTGGGTTCTTTTCTTGTTAAAGTTAATGTAGGCCTATGTGCCACAAACAAATATGTTAATATGACACACATATTGCTCAGTATAAGATTCTGCTATATCTCACTTTTCATAGCGTGTGGCAGAGCCTTACTGTAAGCAGTTGATATAGCACAAATAATTAGTCACAGGAAATCATCAACACTTGAAAAATTGATGCTCTATAACAAATGTTGCGAGTTAGAAATTCAAGAGGCAAGTTATACTTAAGAGAGGATGAATGAATATCATGTTTCCTGGAACTTACATCTCTATCAGGCTTCCAGAGTAACTTTCTGAGACAAATAACAAAATAAGAGTTTACTGGTTCATCACTTTTAACTCTTTATCTCCGGCAAGCCGCTCCCAGCGGCTCGCGGTCCGAACCACGGTGCCGGTGAACCGCTGATGGCTCGGGCACATTCCTTTACGTCGACTTCGACATCACATTATTTTTCGGCGATAGCCGGAAACAGGTCTCTTTTATACCAGAAGTTCATTCATTAGATGAAAAACTATCAAAATAGTTTTGCTAGTTTCCATTTAATGACCCATTTATTGATGTTTTTGTCATTTTTAGATTAAGTACCAAAAAAGGGCCACGGCGTCATGGGTCTACCCCCCTCGGAGATAAAGAGTTAATATTATAAAAGTGTACATAGCGGAGATAAAGAGTTAATATTATAGAAGTGTACATACCCGAGATAAAGAGTTAATATTATAGAAGTGCAGGCTACATACCATATCCCCACTTGGCGGCCAGATGAAGGGGAGTGTCTCCAAACTCATTTGCTGTATTGATTTGCATTTTTCTCAAAGAGGCATCATAAAAAACAAGAGCTTTCACACACTGAGGACAAATAGATTTATAATTTTAAAGACTCAATTTAAACAGTAATTTTTCAGATTTAAACAGCACTGATTGACAAGTTTTATTTTTCAACATTGAACTCTCCACACCATTACACATAAAACAAAGTACCCATCGAAAACCCCAGACAGAACAAATCATCAAATGGAAATAATTTTTTGTAAATCAAAGCATACAGCCTAGACATGGTGATCTCATTGAATCTGCTTCGTGAGACATTATGATAGAATTTTCTCTTAAGTTAAAATATATTACTTAGGAGAAAATTGTTCACAGATTTCTCCCTATTAATATATTACTTCTTAAAAACAACAATTAGAACAGATGCAGCTATTACAGAATGGCATCATGCAGAAGAGTCAACGCTCAGATGCTACTGGATCTCTAACAACATATAGGCCTACATTACTTAATATTTACTACTGTTGGTTTTGGAGAAATTACGTTTTGTTTCACTGTAATGAAAAACCTAGTCCTACAGCAAAAATGATTGTCTGAGTTAATTACTGCATTAAAATGGGCTGTCTGAATCAATGGATCAAAAAGTAGTCTAATTTTGCCATTCAGATTATACAAAAACTCTATGTTTATGACATCAATGAAAATTTAAATATGACCTTTACCTTTGACCTTCATCAATGCTTTTCACCTCTAGCAGGGTATAGGCCACATACAAGCTCCTTCCATTTATCTCTATCCTGGGCCATCCTTCCTAGCTCGGTCTGAGTGAGCTTCATCTCTCTCCTGTCCCTTTCCACACATCTCTTCCATGTCTCCCGTAGCCTACCCCTGCCTCACCTTTGACCTTACGAGAACAAAATTCTAGAATAGCAGCTACTTACATCCTCATGTCCATTAGCACAGCACAGGTGTAGCGGACTGTTCCCTTCGTTGTCCCGAGCCATGACGTCAGCGCCAAAGTGAAGCAACAGCAGCTACACAGGACAAGAAAGTGAAGGTCAGAGGCAGCTAAAACTTACAGGCAACAAATACAGCATAAATCAACAAGTCAGAGGTCAGTTTAGTTTTAGTAAGGGTTTTACGGCACTTGCAAGACAATAAGGTCATATAAGTGCCGAAGATTAGAGGAGTTACAAGAGAGTAACAAACACAAAAAAGAAGGAGGGGAGATGTAGAAGATAGATTTTTTTATAGGAAAGAAGGAGCAAACCACACCAGAGCACCCGCCAACCACCCACAGTCAGAGGTCAGGGGTAACAAAAGTAAACAAATCCAGCACTGAACAAGGGGATTCCTAGACCTGTCAACCATTATATGACCAAAAATAGGAGTTTTCCTCAAAATCCTCACCCCCACCCCAAAAAAAAAAAAAAGATGTTAGGAGAAAACTCCAGAACCCCAGTAAAATAAAGATTACGTAACACATTATGAGTGGCAAATAAACATGTATAGCAATCACACACAAATAAAAATGTACATTTTTTTATAAGTCATGCCAATACTGGAAACAAAAAGGTGCATTTTCAAGCCGTTCGTGATCAGTTGCTCCAATGTTGCAAAGAAAAGCAATCTAAAAAAATTTCTTTTCACATCATTAAAGATAAGTCACATACGAGTACAGGAAACAGATTTCAAGGAAAAAATAAGACTTTATGCAGTTCCGATCAGGGTTCTTTGAAGGCTATTAAAAAAACAACAACAAAAAACAGAGAGCCCCGATTTTATCGGAGTACTCGGTAGGTCTGGATTCTTACTCTTATCACATTAGTTGTCAATATCTGACGACGACCAATGCACCGTAGAGGAGAAACATTTCTCCAGCGAAATAGAAGAATTAGCTGATGAGACCAATTCTGGCATAGAAAAGTTTGCCACATTTCGAACAATTTAAGGCAACACTTCCACTTGTGGATGTGCACAGATTGCCGGCTTCTCTCTTGGTTTCAGTATTTAATTCGTGAAGCCTCATATGATTTGCTTTAGTTTTAGTAGAGGTTTTACGGTGCTCGCAACTGGATAAGGTCATACGAGCGCCAGAAGATTAGAGGTGTTACAAGAGAGTAACAAATATAAAAAAAAGAAGAAGGGGAGATAAGGATGATAGATGTTTGATAGGAAAGAAGAAGCAAACCACACCACAGCACCTGCCTGTGACGGCTGCATATGGCCTCACATTATAAAAAGATTAATACTTGAAAGAAAAACAAAACACAACCGCTCTCTTGCCTACCTGCCGGTGAAGTGATTTATTTAGTTTAGTTTGCACTGAAATCTCGTGTGTATTCAAAACGAGACAAGGTGTAACACATCCAGAAGGGGAAATAATTGTGATATTAAAGAATCGTTCTTTCAACATTCGCAACATAGTTCATTCCCATTTTTACATTTCATACATCAGACACAAACATTACCCCGCCAACCACCCACTGCCCGTTTGCTGGCCAGTGTGCGACTCACCATAACATTCTGGTAACCTCTCTGACAGGCCAGGTGCAGGGGGGTCTGACCCAGGTAGTCGGTGGCGTCCACCACGGCGTTGTTCTGGATGAGGAGATCAATGAGAAGTCCTTGGCCGTAGTACGCTGCCATATGCAGAGCTAGGAGAGAAAAAGAAGGGGGAGGAGGGGGAGGGGAGGAACTTTAAAGCAACTTTCACACACAACTCTCTTCATTTTACCTTGGGGAAACAGGATGTTCACTGGTAGGTCCTACTACTTCTTCTTGTAAATGTTGTGTAAGGTCTCACATTTTTAAAACAAACTCTGACAGCATGTAAAACTTTTCTTTTTCTTGTTTTACTATGAAAAGACCTAGACCCGCTTTACCAAAAAAATTAGATTAGGAAAAAAATGAAAACATCATCCAAGAGTACTTTGTTACCATGACTACATGAGAAATTATTCACTACCAGTATGCGTTGGGTGTTTTGTCCATTTCAACATTACATTCCTTTGAACATTAATTATCAGATCATGTATACACTGAAGAGCAGACTAGAATATATATATATACATATCATTGTAAAAAACGCAAAAAAGTTCTAGCCACTTCAGATCACACGTTAGCCAAAAGGATTTTTAAAATTAAAAGTAAAAGAAAAAGGAGTTAAATAACTGAACACTGACGAGGAAAGACGACCTGAAAATAAAGTTAGAGCATAAAACTTGGTTGTGTGCGGATAGCTCCATTAGAAGGAAGCTAAACTACATTGAGGACCATCACAAAGTCAATCCAATTTTACCTCAAAATATGTGGGCGGTCGCCGGGTGCTCTGGTGTGGTTTGCTTCTTCTTTCCTATCAAACATCTATCGTCCTTTTCTCCCCACCTTCTTTTTTATGTTTGTTACTCTCTTGCAACACCTCTAATCTTCTGGCGCTCATACGACCTTATGCCGTTGCGAGCACCGTAAAACCTCTACTAAAACAAAACACACTAATATACGCATGCGTATCTTAAAACTTGGAATGACACTTTTAGTTAGTTATAGTAGAGGGTTTTGCGGCGCTCGCAACTGCAAAAGGTCATATGAGCATAGAGGGGTGGGTGTCAACAAAAAAGTCCTTACAGGGAATCAGACTTACTCTGCTCACCTCTCTAGCTTCAACAGCACAAAGTCTGCTTCGACTATCAAGGCACCCCGGAAATAGCAGGTCACAAGAGAGTGACAGACATACAAAAGAAGTAGAGGAAATGCCAATAGTAAGGATTAGGAAAGAAAAAGCAGCAGTTCCCTGTTGTAGATCAGGCACAGTTATGAGCATGACAAGATGAATCAGCCCATTTACAATTCTACTGTGCTTGAACGAGAAATGTCCCCCCTTTGGGAATGGCCTAAAGACACTTCAGTCAGTGGCACTGCCCCGAGGGGAATGACATTGTCCACGATGTCCACCAGTCTAACACAACCACTTTTTTCCTCCACAATGGGTGGTCATCTTAGTCTATTTCTACAGAGCTTTAAAAATTATTCCTTATTGAAAATATGAAGAAAATCTAGAAAGTAGAAATAATACCTCTTCCCTGCCACATCGCATGACTCGTCTTTTTAGTTAGTTTTAGTTTTAGTAGAGGTTTTAAGGCGCTCACAACTGCATAAGGTCATAGGAGCGCCAGAAGAATAGAGGTGTTACAAGAGAGTAACAAACATAAAAAAAGAAGAAGGGGAGATAAGGACGACAGACGTTTGATAGGAAAGAAGAAGCAAACCACACCAGAGCACCTGCCAACCACTCACATGACTCATCTGAAAAAGACATAAAATTCAAACTAAAATCTCAAACCCGTAATCGCTGGCCAGCTCGACCTACCAGTGTAGCCCCGATTGTCACGGGTGTAGGCGGTGACAAGCTCTGAGTCGTTCCGCAGCTTGCCCATCAGTTTGTCGCATTTATCGCAGGCGCACAGCGGGTGGCACAGCTTCAAGTGGAGCTCCTCACTGCTGCGGTGTGGCTTCTCCAACATCTGCTGAACCATCTTCTCATCGCCCGACTCCACGTACTACGGTGAAAAGACAAGACATTTACGTCAAACTGTAAAAACACAAATCTGCCTTACATATCTTTTTTTTTTTTATTTAGAAAGAGTTTTACAGCACTTGAAACACAATAAGGTCATATAAGTGCCGAAGATCAGAGGTGTTACAAGAGAGTAACAAACACAAAAAAGGAGGGGAGATAAGGACAATAGATATCTGATAGGAAAGAAGAAGTAAACCACACCAGAGCACCCACCAACCACCCACATATCTCTCATCACTCAACAATATACTGTACAGAAAAGACAGAAGTTTCAAAATAAAACGATACCCACAAGATTTCTAAAAAATCAGAAGGAGTATATCTGCAGCATCTTTTTAGTTTTAGCTTTAGTAAGAGTTTTACGACACTTGCAACACAATGCAGATAAGGAATACAGCAGTTTTGAAATCAAAGGACACAAAGAAAACATGGAAAAGAAATTAAAAGACAAGAAAAACAACATTATCAGTTTGAAATGAAGGCAGACAGAGCAAAGACATTTGTTTGATATTTCTACAAACAAACAATCTAACTTTTATGAACCAAACAAGGCAACTGTTTTAATATATGCTTTCCCAAAGAGGTTGTCAAGTTTTTTAAAAACCAAAGTTCCATCCATAACGTACCTACATAAATATATCAAATTCCTTACTCTGTGGAGAAGAGCTCAATTTACCATACAGAAAATCACAACAGCCTCAAAAGAAATGGCAAAATGAAACCTGAACATTTGAAACAACAAAACAATACAAGAAAAGCAAATGTGAGCAACAAACATAATTTCAAAGGCTGGACCTTTGAGTTAATATCAACTCCACTTTGAGATTAAATTTTTAAAAACAACAAACAAACAAAAAAAGCCCTAAAAACTTCATCACATCACCATTCTAGTGACCTACTTTAAAAAACTCATCAATAACGGATGTCTGGGACACCTGACGACTGGGGGTGCCGGTGGCTGAAGACACTGTGTTAGATGACGAGGCTGAACTGTCAGCAACATCTGTGACCACGATGCTGTTCCACCTCTCACGCTGCAAGAAAGTAAGGAGATATGGTAAGCCAAACTTCATTTGTGTGTATTCTGGATACAAGAAACACTTGACAACAATATACAGTCAAACCTGCTGTCAGATATGTCGCTCTGCTTTAGAATAGAAGAAGAGCTAGAGAAGAGTCAATGAAGTGTTCTTTACCTTACTGAGTAACTGACTGGTATGTGTACATTACAATGGCCTATTTTGGGGTGGACAAAACATAGCAGTCTTCCCTTTGCAAGCGTACTGCTTTTGAAGATGCACTTGATTATCTGTCCTTGTGGTTTTATGCACCCTGCATAATTTAACAAAATTTGATTATTTTTTTAATAATTTCTGATTATTTTCCTTCATCATTCTTTGTTAAAATTAACAGAATCGCATAATTTCACATTTTTGGGCTCAGTTTGCATAATTTCAGAATTTTCCTCGCATAACGATGGGGACAGGATTATGAAAGCAGATGAACATTTCTCCCGTTCTAAGGAGGGATGAAGTTCCTATGTTACACAGACAGCCAAGATGCTATTCTTAAACTATTCCACTTCTCCACTGCTTTTCAAATGCAAACCTATACCCTGCAGTTCAAGTTGTCCTCCCTTGTCCAAGAAGGTAAAGGGACCAATGCCTCCTACGCTAGTACCAGAAATACAGAAAACCTGAGCAAATTATAGTTGTATTTTACTATTGTATCCATATAACCTTGGGAACTCTGTGCCACCACTTTCCAAAAAGGAAATTTACTCCTTTATCCGATCCGTATGTTTTGCATAGCAGTCTGTCAAAATGATCTTTTGAGAAATACTGAAAGTTTCAAATAGATCTTCGTATTAGAAGTATTCTAAAATGTGAAGAATACAATCCGGGGGGGGGGGGGGGGGGTTGTTACAAAATGACCCCTGGGCATACGGATAGGGTTAAACATGAGTGAACCTCAAATACAATCCAGATATGACACAATAAGAACACAAACTGAGCCCACTGTGCAAGGAGCAAAACAACAATAACATAAGATTCAACATCCTTGGACAACTCACCTTAAGAGGTTTGATTTCATCTCTCACATTCCCACTGCGTATGTGCTCCAAGGCCGCTTCAATAGAAGCCAGATAAAATCTGCAGAGAAACAATGCAAATCAGAAGTAGAAACATGGCAATATGAAACAACTTTAAGACAAACTGTCATATTGTTTATAAATACACAGCAGATATCAAAATGAAGTAAAAGAATCATGCCCAAATATTGTTTGATTTAGTAAACGTGTTATGGCACTTGCAATACAATGTGCTGAAGGTTAGAGGTGTGACAAGAGAGTTACAAACACAAAAGAAGGAGCAGAGATAAGGATGATAGAAGTTTGATAGGAAAGAAGGGGCAAACCACACCACAGCACCCACCAACCACCCACGACTAAATACTGAATTATAGCGCATATCACAAGAAACAAAAAAAAAAAAAGAAGACACAATATTGCAACCTACCCAAACTCATCATCATCCGAAGATTTTGCAAAGTGGAAATGCCTCATGTACACCAGGTTTGCCATCCTGCAGGACAATAGGAAAAAATAGACACATGAAAATATGAATGAAAACTTATTACACCCAGAAAGATATGAAATGTCTCAAAAACTGATTCGCCCATTCATTCACTCAATTAACCTTTAAATTTAAAGGGGAAAAGAAAGCGATTACTACAAAGGATTAGTTCTCTTTAAAGAAAAACAAAGCTTTATTGAGCGACAAAAAAGTGACAGGTCGTGCCAACTTCTCAGAGTCATTCTGGTCCAGAGGAGAGTGTGTCAGACTAGCAGATGTAATAATCTGTCCCCGGAGTTTTATGCACCCCGCATAATTTAGCAAAATTTGATCATTTTTTGCATAATTTCTGATTATTTTCCTTTATCATTCTTTGTTAAAATTAACAGAAACGCAAAATTTCACATTTTTGGGCTCAGTTTGCATAATTTCAGAATTTTTCTTGCATAAAACGACGGGAACAGAATAATTAGGGTTTGATTCCCAGCTCCAGTGGGTAAGAAACTGCATCTTTTGCAAAACCATTTTTGCCTCTTTTTTTTACCTTTTCTTCCCTAATTCTCTTATCTAGAAATGGGTACTTAGCTGCTATTGGCAATGATGAAGTTTGTGAAGGACAGTGTTTTGAGCTTACAGAAACAAGTGCTGAAATGGTAATGTTCAATGATCTGGCTGACCAAGTGGGTTTTCCATTCAGGTTAGTGACCCTTCAGTTGAACAGCTGGTAAGATGATTGACCATCAATTTCTTTTACTGTGGTATGTGCAAGGGTCTTCCCGTCATCTCTGAGTTTCAAAGTTCACACACAAGTTAGGACATTTTCATTTCCAAACAGCAAAATAATTACAAGATGAATTGCTGTCTCCGTGGTTTTATGCACCCCACATAATTCAGCAAAATTTGATCATTTTTAGCATTATTTCTGATTATTTTCCTTTATCATTCTTTGTTAAAATTAACAGAATCGCATAATTTCACATTTTTGGGCTCAGTTTGCATAATTTCAGAATTTTTCCTGCTTAAAACGACGGGGACAGATTGGAAGGACTCCACCTCCACATACAAACAGACATCTTTGCAGGGGAATAGTTGATGGTCTTACACTCCTCGTGGAGTTAAAAGGCAAGGGAGAGACAGAATATGTGTGACAAATTATAATATTCTACTCACCAGTTTGGTGTTTCTGATTTGATGATAAGGAAGATCAAGATTGGGAGCAGATCATCTGTTGTCATCATTTCGGCCGTGTCTACAAAATTGAGTTTACAAAAAAACAAACAACCAGTGTAACAGCCATGGCAGATAGGATTTTCTCACAACAACCAGTGTAACAGTCATGGCAGATATGATTTTCTCAGAACAACTAGTGTAACAGTCATGGCAGATATGATTTTCTCAGAACAACCAGTGTAACAGTCATGGCAGATATGATTTTCTCAGAACAACCAGTGTAACAGTCATAGCAGATAGGATTTTCTCACAACAACCAGTGTAACAGTCATGGCAGATAGGATTTTCTCAGAACAACCAGTGTAACAGTCATGGCGGATAGGATTTTCTCAGAACAACTAGTGTAACAGTCATGGCAGATATGATTTTCTCAGAACAACCAGTGTAACAGTCATGGCGGATATGATTTTCTCAGAACAACCAGTGTAACAGTCATGGCGGATAGGATTTTCTCAGAACAAATGACAGCCCCGTTAACTTCAGTATTAAACATCTCAAATAAACAGATTTTCACACTCTGCCGTCACATCTCGCCCATCTGCGATGTTCACCACCCAGTTTCTTTGGATTTTCCCCAAAATGCCTTTGCCTTTGATGACAAAGGTTTTTACTATATAAGCCTTATGATGACAAAGGTTTTTACTATATGAGCCTTGTGATGACAAAGGTTTTTACTATATAAGCCTTGTGATGACAAAGGTTTTTACTATATAAGCCTTGTGATGACAAAGCTTTTTACTATATAAGCCTTGTGATGACAAAGGTTTTTACTATATGAGCCTTGTGATGACAAAGGTTTTTACTATATGAGCCTTGTGATGACAAAGGTTTTTACTCTATGAGCCTTGTGATGGAAAAGTGTTAAAAGCCTATTCATATCATTTAACGAATCTTCAACTGAAAGAGAAGATTGTATAGTCTGAAACTCTTCATTAACTTGCCAAGTGTCAAGAGTTAAGTTCTTTAGTGTCAAGGAACTTTTAGCGTTTTTGTCATGGGTCTTAAAATCCATGAAAACATTTTGAAACTGACTTCAAGTGTTCTTTAACTGTACATTTTCCGAAAGCTTGATGGCTTAGCAAGACCATGTAAACTAAAAAATACATTATTTTCTCATTTCTGCAGACCTGCAAAGCCATTTCTTGGTTTTTTTGTACAGTTGAAAATATGCATTCTGAGTGCCGAAAAGAAAAATCAACTTATCTTAACCTAGTGAACCAATGGGAAAAAAAAAGGGTACTGGTCCACTGTTCTTTCTGGAAATATATTGATAACTATAGGATATTTTGACTAACATGTGTAACACCATTACCTTAAATATAAAATAAAAAACAGAAATAATTGAACAAAATTTTCAAAAAGTTAAGCTCTTACTACAGTGTGTAAGTAAAAGTTAGCTTGTCTAACCAGCAAACTTATACAACACGTGAGGAATCAGTTTGATCTCACCTAGAGGGCAAAATAATATCACTTTCATGCAAAACAATCCTCACATTATCATACACACATTGTTCCATGTATACAAACAAACATAAAAGAATAATGGACTCTCTTTCTAGAAGAAATAAATAAAAAACATTCTAGATATGAGCAGAGAAGCAGCTAAACAAGCACAAAAACAAACTGACGACAAAACTGAACCTAACCTTTAGAATCCTCCTTGCCGTTTTGTTTGGGAGGCTTGGTGAGGGCTGCCACCACACGCTTAACACAGAAGAGTCTCCCCATTGGGGTGCTGTATCGGTTGAGACGACTCAACTCTTTTTTAGCTGGAGGAATGTTTTGGCTGAGAGCAGAGACAGAAATAGGACAAAACTAGGAAAAAGCGTTTGAGCAGAAAATGTAGAAAATGTCTTTCTTCCTGACCAGGCTTGTAAAATGGGGTCAAGTTAACAACATAGGTGTGACTAAAAGAGTAAAGTGCACAGAACTGTTATAATCTTGAACTTACTTTACTTGAGCTGAAGTACAATTTTTTGAGTATTTCAATTAACTCAAAGTAAAATTCAAAATTGTTCTTCGTGGATCCAGTACAATTACCAACATAGTGAGGATATCTATATATATAAAAGTGAACTTGGGAGGCTTTGTGCACAAACTCCTTCCTTATTACCTAACCCACACCTCTGAAACTTTGCAGGCGTCCACAGCATCCATGAGGCTAGGATCTAACTTTTTAAAAATTCACACAAACTGCTTTCCCCGATTTTTACAAAAGTTCTTTGATCCTAGTGAAAGCAGTAAAATCCCAATCAACGTGTCTCATAAGTAAATATAAATCGATGCCTAAAGTGAAATGCGATGAAAACATAGCCAATAGAAGAACAGAGAGACTACAGAATACTCCAACATCCAAGGAAAACAAGAAATCTCTTACTTGAATACTTTCCTGATTCCAAGGTCTGTGAGCTGCAGACTGACCAGATTACGAGTGATTTTATTGATCTCCGCATCCTGAGTTGCAAATGTAGCCGTGATAACTCGAAACAGATGTTTGTGGATGGCATTCATCACATATGTCTGAATGGGCAAAACAAAAAAAATTATTATTAATGACTCGCCACTAATTACCATTATTCTCACACAACTTCTAAGTCATGGCACCAAGTAGAATTATATTTTTTTTAATCTCTGCGGTTATCTCATCGAAACCAATAATAACAAAAGAAACTCTTATCATTTCAGTTGAAAGGGACTTTAAAGAGGAAATCTGGAGGCTTGACGAAAGTACCTTCAATCCTCGTCACCCGATGGCATTTAGGCACAAGAAATATGTGCTTTCATAATCCAAAGAGCACTCAAGAATAACAATACTCTCCATTTTGTTAAAAAGTTTTACTTCTTTCCTGTCCTAAGAGAGCGCAATTTCTGTCTGTCACACTCACTTTCCTAGCACAAAGTGATTATTATAGCATCCATGTGCTTCTCAACAACTTAAACAAATTTTAATCATCCTACCTCAACTGCAACCTTGAGGTTTTCCATGTACTGGACATTGTGTCTGGCAGAGCGCCTCTGAAAAGATAAATCACAGGAACATAGAATACTGACTTAGTTTTTATTTGTATTTGACTTCAATAAATTCAGTGGAACAGCAGTATTTTAAAAAATACAACTAATGAGATGGTCAAAGTTCTTTAAACAAATTCAAATAATAGATTAAACCAGAAGTCCTGAAAGCTCTCATCAGAAACAGACATGCACTTCAAATAACTAAATTCTAAATAAAACTATGACATCTACAGGCTTCATGATTTTGTAACTTCTAAGAGCAATTAAAATAAAGGAGCCTGTATCAAATTATACTGTAGCTAAACTAGTCTTCATACACAAATAAATTACAAATACAAGTTTAGTGAAACCTGAAATAATGTGAGATGCACATTATGATAAAAGTTGCAAGAATGAAAAATTCTATTTGTAAAGTTAATACAACTGGCCTACATAAAGAAACACTGTCCTTCTGAAACATAAACATACGATGCTGCAAGTGTTTGCTACTCTGTCTGAAGGTCAGTTCTTCCAAGCAGCCAATGAAATTTCTTACCACAACAGAATCTTTCAGCATCAGCTGCATTGCTTTGGTAAAATGAGTGTTGGCTGCATCCTGTTAAAAAATATTAGCACACATTCAGTATAATCAATAGTAAATCAAATGATGAACAACAAATCAAAGGAAATTCATTGATATAAACTAGTATTCGATGATGGGATGAAAAATTAGAATTGCAGTGCAAAATACACTCCTTGATACAAAAATAATTAATCAAAGATGAAAGTAAAGCAAGCATCCCCAAAAAACAAGTTCTTGCAGCATTTAAAATAAATTAATCATCAAGACATTGCAACATACAGTCAAAATTGTCCAAGATGGCAAAGTGTTTCCCTATTTTAGGTTGAACTTCCACATTGTCCAGTCTCTAAATGAAAAACCATTCGTTTTTATGGATTCTGATATTAACTAAGGCATGCCAGACGGTCACTAAAAAGACTAAGAATACTTAGATCCCATCAGTCTGTTAAAAAAGTAAAAAGATGTGCCTTTGAGTTTTCTTCATGCACTCACCCAACCCGTGGTTCAAGTAATTTTGGGTCAAGTTTTGTCCTTATTCCAAATAATCATCAGGCTTGCCAACTTATGAGATACTGAATTCTGGAATTTTGATTGCACTGGAGCGCCACAGACACACACTTCTGTGAAAGGCTACTTAAGCACACTTCTGTGATAGGCTACTTAAGCTACTAAAAAAAAGCACCCACACCACAAAATCAGCTCAAACAAACCAGTGGAGAAACAGACAGCGAGAGAGAGCCGTTTCGGGAAAGGTTCGAGAACGACGATAGCAATTCGGGAATTTCCCGAAAATTTCAGGAAGGTTGGCAAGCCTGAATGATACAAACAAAAGTAGAGCACCCGTTGAAAATCTGTTTTCATCTCGATAAAAAAAAACAATATAAAAATTAGAAACAGTGAAAATTGTAAGTGTCTGCTTTGATTAGCTATCTGACAATGAGAGTTCTAAAACACCCTTGAAATGTCAGCAGCAGGGGTTCATTGGGACTTCATCCCCTGGCAGTCAATTAGTTACTTAAACATGCGGAGACTGAAAGTTTGCAAAGAGTTTGGATATTCTATCAAAAGACATTACCACAATGCTTCTCAAGTTTTCTCCTTCGAGTCTGTCATAGGATGTCGCAAATGTGCTCAGCATCCTGTTCAGAGAATCTCTACTCTTTTGTCCACCTGAAAGCAAATCAATAACATATTATTATCTTCCAGTTTAGCACACCAATATCTGTTTGCTTTTCTATCCCACAAAGCAACTTAATTTATACAGTTCCAAGTAAGGCCCATTTTTGTGGATTATTTTGTTTTAGTGAGCGTTTTATGGAACTTGCAACATAATTTGGTCATAAAAGTGCTGAAGATTAGAGATATTACAAGTGAGTAACAAACACAAAAAAGAAGGGGGGGAGATAAGGACGATAGATGCTTGATAGGAAAGAAGGAACAAATCACACAGAGTACCCGCCAATCATCCACTTATATGGATTCATGCTACTGCATACTAAAATAATGTCATCATAGACTGAATAAATAAGACAAGACAACAGCACACAAAAATCGAGGAGTCTTGGTTTTAATAAGTGTTTTACGGCACTTGCAACACAATAAGGTCATATAAGTGTCGAAGATTAGAGGTGTTACAAGAGAGTAACAAACACAATAAGGTCATATAAGTGTCGAAGATTAGAGGTGTTACAAGAGAGTAACAAACACAAAAAAGAAGGAGGGGAAATAAGGACGATAGATGTTCGATAGGAGAGAAGAAGCAAACCACACCAGAGCACCCGCCAACCACCCACTTAAGGAGTCTTTTTTTAGTTCAGGTTTTTCGGCGCTAGTAACTGCATAAGGTCATAAGAGTGCCAATCTCAAGGAGTCTGTCTGAAACAACTCCATATCTCACCTGAATGTGACCACAGCAAGTCCATGCACTGCTGATAACTAGTTGGTGAGAGAACCTTGTTCACACTGGAATTTCTTGGTGAAACATCTGAAAGATGAAAACAGCCCCCATGAGCAAAAAAACATTACTAAATTCTACGATACTAGTACTAGAGAGAGAGAGGGACAGGGAGAGAGAGGGACAGGGAGAGGGAGAGGGAGAGAGAGAGAGAGAGAGAAGGGGGGAGGGAGAGAGAGAGAGAGAGAGAGAGAGAGAGAGAGGGAGGGAGGGAGGGAGGGAGGGAGGGAGAGAGAGACAGAGACAGAGAGAGAGAGAGAGAGAGAGAGAGAGAGAGAGAGAGAGAGAGAGAGAGAGAGAGAGAGAGAGAGAGAGAGAGAGAGAGAGAGAGAGAGAGAGAGAGAGAGAAAGAGAGAGACAGATAGAAAGAAAGAGAGAGAGAGAGACCAGAGACAGAGAGAGAGAGGGACAGAGAGACAGAGGGAAGGGGAGAGAGAGGGGCAGTAAATTCCTTCCAACAGATACAGGATGGTCAATATACCACTCACCAACGGTTCTGTTGAGAAATCCACCAATGCAAAACACCCTGTAACTTCCACCTTCATCAGTGTGAAATGTTTCAGCAAACAAAATCGAAGCCTGTTATAAGACAAAAATAGTTGGCTTGAATAAGAATACATGTAAGCAAATGCACAGTTAGCACCAACTCATTAATGAGAAATACTGATATCTTAAAACAAACAATCAAGAACTGCGATAGATGAAAAGGGTCCTCATGTCAATATCAAAATAAGCCTACTAAAATCTGTTTTCTAGAAGATGAAGTCAGTTCCAAAAGATTTTGAAATGTTAATTATTGTTCCAAAATATATCATTTCTAATTCAATAAATTCTGCTCTACATATATAGATAAAAGTAATGAGAAGTACATGGACACAATAGCACTCACTTACTGCAGGGAAAGAGTAACGAAGACAGGCGGACAGAAACAATACCGTAAAAGGAAAGGAAAGAAATAGCACAATAAAAGAAAAGTGTGTGCGGGGCACAGCGAAAAAAAGTTTGCTCCAAGGAGTGGTCAGGCGTGTCTCAAACCAGCTCCTCATGGAGACAATTAGCAGGAAGACCCTGAGGTGGATGCTGGAAAGGAGAGATGAGCAGCTATGGACGTGTGCCGCCTGCTATGATTCTAGCTCTGGATCCAAGTAAATCCAAGTAAGTGGCACCATCCGACCACCCGCAGGAATATGAAGCATGGACTATTAACCCATATACAAAAATCATTGAAAGCCACAGATCTGTTGGTTTTCAAACACATAACAAGTTAACAGAAAGATGTAAGAGTAACTATCTATGGGCTTCAAAATAGTTAAAGGTTAGAGTTATACTTTTATTTATACAAACGAACATCACAGATAAAATATCGATTTTCATCAAACCTGAACCCCTTATAGCTTTATCTTCACACAATGAAACACCTCACCTCTCTCTGACTATCGAATCCTGCTTGACCGATGAGGCTTCCATCTCCTATTCTGACCGTCTGAAAAGTAATACATTTTTTTAATGAAAAAAAACAACTCAATATGAGCATCAAACCATTCTTCACGAAAACAAAAGGCATTATTATTCAAAAAGAGGAAGTGAGGAGAGAGAGAGAGGGAAGGAGGGAGTGAGAGAGAGAGAGGGGGAGGGAGGGAGGGAGGGAGAGAGAGAGAGAGAGAGAGAGAGAGAGAGAGAGAGAGAGAGAGAGAGAGGAGGGAGAGAGAGAGTGAGAGAGAGAAAGTGAGAATAAACTGAGGGAGATTTCATTAACTTAGGGTTACGTCCTCTAGGTTTCTATGAATTAGGCATTAGATGCTCAAAGTAAGTACTTTGTTGAAAAAAATATTAATCTTTCTTTCAAGTGTCAGAGATACGATTCTGTGGTGCCAGAAATGTTTTTGTGTTTTCAATCCCATGCCTTATAACCACAGATTTTCTGAAAGTTTGATTGTTTGGCAAAATCATGTAAATAGAAAAAAACAACCCAATTTGTTTTTCAGCTTAGTAGGTCTTCATGGCCATCAGCATTTTAGAGAGGCACCGAACCATTATTCTTCCAAAAAACATAGATAAAGGACATATATGTGGTGCAGCATGAAGGAATCAGACGTTCGTCCAAATAATGAAATTGAAGAAACGACATTTTTCTGCCAGTTGAGAAATTTTTATTGAATTCTTATTTTTACTTCAACATCTTTATGCCCATTAAAGAACACATTTTTTTCTGTACGGATTTTAAAACAACAAAAAAGTGTTGATGAAAGTCACAAAAGATGCAAACTTGCAGTTTCAATGAACGTTCAAGCTTTGGAAGCCACCAAACTTTGGCAACCATTTCTTGCTAACATTACTTCTGCCACCAGGTGAACCTCACCTCCTTCAATCAAAAACAGCTCAACTTCTGTTCAAGATAGATGGGTATTTCTTTTTTTTTTTTCCACCTTCAACAAGACAAATAAATAAGCTATAAGATGTGATGTGTCAGTAGCTCAAAATGTGCCCAGAAATTTACGAGCGCCATGTTCCATTATGTCATGACACATATTTGCCTTCCCATTTATAAGAGATGCTTCTATTTTCAGTATTGACAAAGGTGAAAATGAAGGCAGCAACAAACTGGACCGATTTATTGGCAGCACATTCAACCTCATATCCCTGTACTAGTATGAACAAATCTGTCTTATTTCTCCTTCAGTGAATACAAGAACAAGAGATCATGAAATTGTAGTGATTTTAGTAAGTTACAGCGACAACTTTTCCCATTTAGGAACAAACCAGTTTCATTAAAAAATATAAACCAATGTACAAACGTTTTTAAAATGCACAGAAAACTGAGGTAGCTAACCGAGTACCAGTACTAATACTGAGGGCACTTTGAAATAAATACACAAAAAAAGAAGTTTCATTCAGATATCAAGATTCCAGATACAATATTTCATATGATAGTCGGTCATGGCAAGCTGGAAAATAATAAATGGGGGGGGGGATGCTTATTCGATACCTTAGGAGTTTCATCCAATTTGCTCTAATTTGTAGAGCATGGAGAAAAAAACTTTATTCAAGCTGTTGCAAAATGATTTCATTTAGAGCAAGAATTCATAAAAAGTAGAAATATAATACAATGCAGCTGTGAAAGAATTATTTATGAATATTCAGTAAATTTGGATCAGTCAGATTTTGCAGCAAACATTTACCAACCTGCCAACCCCACCTTGACCAAAAATAGTTTTCCTCGGAATACTCCCTAAAATTTGGAGTTTGGGAAAAAAATTAAAATAGTCGACAAAAACCCAGTAGATTAAAATAACATTTCAAATCAAAAGTAGCAAATAAACGTGTACAGTGAATACATGCAAATAAACTTAAATAAAACTGTATTTTCATGTCGTTTAAGGTGAGTTATGAATGTATTGAAAGTAAAAAAACAGTATTAAATTATATTTCCATGTCATTTTCGATAAAAGTTGCACACGACAGATCGAAAAAGAATTTAGGAATCAGAGGAGACTCCAATCTCATCAGAGCACCTGGCAGATCTGCTTTTATAAAGAACTAGCTGGGCCCCCTTTAAATGAAAGGAATAATCGGTGCATTAACGTCAGCCGAAAGTCATTGGCTTATGATATTTACATTCAACTGGAATGGAGCAATAAATTTTGAGAGATGCAAAATTAGAAGTTTTAGATCTATACTCTCAAAACAATGCGCACGGCAAGTGAACGGAAACCTCCTTTCCTAAAATTAAAGACAGAAGCGTTGGCCTACAAAAGCGATCGGCGAAATAAAGAAATTTAGCTTTTTGCACCAAAACTGTCTCAAAACTGAAAAAAAACTAAGGGCGTCATGATCTGGAGAATATTTTTTCAAATCTTTTGGCGAAAAGCGCATGTCGATCGATGCATCCATTAAAAAGCCTTTTGAATAGCAAAATTCGGCCACCACAAATAAATAATAAATGACCTCTACCATAATAATATTATACAATACCTTTCACTTCAATCCTCTGAAAATTAAAAAGTTTTGAAACACAATTAGCAAATTTTTGCTTTTTCAATTTGTAAAAGCACACAACTTACTTTGCCAGATATAGTAATAAAATCATCAGCATCATCAACAACTTCTTTTGTAGGCAGAAGGATGTGATCTTCAAGGTCTGTAACCTGAAGATCTATTTGTGCAGCAATGGAATACTTTGGAACGCACAGCTGGAAAAAAACCATCAGAATATAAATGAAAGATGTTCAGAATGCATGAATTCATGTAATCAAATAAAAACCAGGGAAATGCCATCATATAAAAAACAATTTTCTTTAAAAAATTCACTGTTATCTTGAAAGTATTAAAAAATATGAATAGGCACTGAGAATAACAGGAATATTAGTTAAATACATTTTATATTTATATATAAATACATATATATATATATAAATATATATATATATTATATATATATATATATATATATATATATATATATAGAGAGAGAGAGAGAGAGAGAGAGAGAGAGAGAGAGAGAGAGAGAGAGAGAGAGAGATATATAAATAAAAGAAGGAACAAACCACACCACACCACCATACAACCACCCACCATTAACAGGTGTTATAATGAAAAAAAATAATTGTTTATTACATAGTCTTCTCTGCTCATTATTAGTTTCAAGTCTTTTCAAGAAACCAGATCCAGCTAAAAGTTCAAATATATATGTCACTACTTGGCGGAATCAGACACTCGTCAATTTTGGAGCATATGGAGTTATTGTGGTATCATCTTTAAAGCATGTTCATTTACCTTAAAATAAATATCCATCTATCTTCAATAGAATTCGAGATATTAGCGACTGAGGGAGGTGGGGATCGCTTGATCTCAAAGGCAAAATTATCGAGAAAATGGCTTCCAAAGTTTGATTGCTTCCACTTGAGAATACTTGAGAACTTAAAATTTACATTTTTGTGCCTACTTTAATCAAGGTTTTTCAGCAAAATCCACACTGAAAATATGTTTTTAAACAGACATATAAAAGGTGTTGAGCCAGAAAACAAAAATTACATAAACACTATGCATATATGATACACACAACACTACTTAATCAACGGTAAACTGTCTTATCTTCTAAGTTTGCCAACTTACAATGCCTTTGGATGACACAATTTTGTCTATGTACGCAGGGAATTTTGACATGATTCCAATGAAGTAAGGATTTTCATACAAATCCTCATCATATTTTGAGCTGGCCGCCATTATGGAACCACCGTAAAATTTTTAGCTTTCACAGAAGAATGGGTCAATGACTCTTTGAAATACGTCGACTGTTGACCAAAATGTCCAAAGTTCTTTTCTTAATAATAATAAGACATTAGACTTTAGATAGAGAAACGACTTGTTCTTTATAAATCCCAGTTACCAATGAAAAGGGCTAGGCTTATCACATATGATAGGATCCATTCCATTCATGGGTAGGCTAAAGTTAAAGACAAATATAAAAGCCAAAGTCAAAGAAGTCTCATAAGTTCACTTGAAATAAATCTCAGTCTCAAGTTTTGCCACATCAGTCATCAGGTACCCTAGTCACCAGTGTTTTTTTGTTGTTATCAATTTCCGTGAAGTTAGTGTTACATCTTTGATTAGGTCAGATTAGGTTGAGTTAGAAAGGAATACTTTCGTCAGCACCACTTCTTGTATCTACACCACAAACAATTACAATACGATAGATCTTAGTCAGACAAAGTAGCCTAGATCTAGATCTACTAGACTCATAAAAATGAAATGAACTTTCAGAAGTACAGTAACAGCAATTTTGCCACATTTGGCCTTGCACGATAATGGCTAAAAAAGGGAATCGCTTTTGAAATATGTCACGCCTCTTATGACTAGAGAGAATGGTGATAAGACGTCTGCTGGGGTATCACAGGCACACCAAAGTATAGATAACACATCCGTTTCCATCGTTCATTGTTTTCCTTCGAGTACTGTTTACGACTCCATGTTTAATAGAACCGGAAACAATATGACACTCAGATAAATTACCTCCATTTGTGAAAACTTAGCCCTTTTTCTAACTTACAATATAAAAGAACTTTATAAAATACATTGAGTGATGATCATAATAATTAATCAATAGGCCTAAAGTAATACATGGGGAAAGGATGTTACTATGTTACTTGTAGTAGTATGTAATCACATCACAATGTGTATAATGTGTACAAGTCACTTACAAGTGTATGTATGTATGTATGTATGTATGTGTGTATGTATGTATGTATGTATGTATGTATGTATGTATGTATGTATGTATGTATGTGTGTATGTGTGTATGTATGTATGTGTGTGTGTGTGTGTGTGTCGGTGTGTGTCGGTGTGTGTGTGTGTGTGTGTGTGTGTGCGTGCGTGTGTGCGTGCGTGCGTGCGTGCGTGCGCGCGCACAGGCGGTTGGGGGGCCCTCTGATGTGGTTTGCTTCTTACACTTTTATACTCCATTGTCGTCCTCTGCTAGCTGCCTTATTATGTGTGTGACTCACTCGTTGGCCTAAAGGTAATCTCCAACACGTACGTATGATATGACCTAAAGTGTTGCAAGTGCCTACAACCTATATCAAACCAAACATGATAGGCTGAATACGTGTACATGTTTGTACAGGCACCTTAGTTTTTTAGTTTTAGTAAGAGTTTCACGGCACTTGCAACACAATAAGGTCATATAAGTGCCGAAGATTAGAGCAAAGGGGTAACAAGCACACAAAAGAAGGAGGGGGATATGGACAATAGATGTTTGATAGGAAAGAAGAATCACCGGCATCAAGGACCTTAAAATATTTATAACCTCCTTAATCGATATGTACAATGTGTTCTTTCTTTTTCTCTACGTATCAATTGCCTGTGTTCACTGCAGGGTATGACCCTCCAACAATGACCCCTACTCTGTTTTATCAAGTGTTCCCTGTGTCAGGTTGTATCCGTCCATTTTCTGACAGCTCCATCAAATTGAACTGCCGGATTTGAGCGAAGCTATACTATAATGTGTCAAGGACCCTGTAGACGCAGTGTTCTTTTTTTTCTTTCTTTCTTTCTTTTTTTTTTTTTTTGGACCCGATGCTCGTTAGTGACTAACTTAGTCTTCGGGCACGTAGACCGGAGCGTGAATATTTGCCAGAGCCTAACAATAACAGCATTTCCAAAATCAGGCGCAAATCAACGACTAGCGCTATAGGTGCCTTAGTCTTCGGGCACGTAGACCGGAGCGTGAATATTTGCCAGAGCTTAACAATAACAGCATTTCCAAAATCAGGCACGAATCAACGACTAGCGCTATAGATGCCTTGTACACTAGCAAAACATGGCGTTAAGAGGGGCTGGCAGTATTGCGGGGCGGTTCAACGAGTTTTGACTACACATGTAAGGAGTTGAGATGACTGCGTCCCTTCCTTTACTAAGGTTCATGTAAACGCACGCTCCGTATAAACACACGCTAAGGAGCCCTCCCGACTCCCGAGCACCGTGCGTTTAGGCGGAGACTACTGTATTTGGGTTTATTTTTGTGTATTTTAAGGCCTACTCTCTCTCTCTCCTCTCTCTCTCTCTCTCTCTCTCTCTCTCTCTCTCTCTCGCTCTCTTTTTCTCTCTCTCTGCATATGATGTTGAGGCCAATTTCTTTCAATGCGAAGTGTCATATCATGGGCGAATCTCACATTTTTCAGTTGTTCTCCATCATCTATTGGAATTCCTTCTCTGGGCGATGTCGTTTTGAAAATGTATTCGATTGCTGCTGTGAATTGAATAAGTGGTATATTAAGACTTTGATTAAGATCCACTTTATTTTTTATGGCAAATTTTTCAGTTACGCAGTTATCAAGATGGATTCGAGCTGATGCCTTTCGGTAAATGTTTATCAATAAGTGGATGTAGGGTTCATATTTATTTTATTTTTTTGGAGATGTTAAAAAATTGCAGTGTTCAATAGAGTCGACGGCTCTTTTGTAGTCAACAAAACCAACGCACACAGCTGTACACCGTATTCGTGGCTTTAAAAAAAAAACTTGATTTAGTGATTATTATAGATGGTCTCAAAGATTCTATATTCTTCTTTTTCTATGTAACTATGTAACATAATCATAACCTTTTTATATTTCTGTTGATTTCTGTGCCCACACACCACACAACAAACAGCCACGGAATCATACACCCGAAAATCCGTGTCGCCCATTTCATTTATCGCATGTACCTGTACATGTACCATTTTTTCTGTTGTCCGTGGGAAAGAAGTAGAACTAAGGGGAGATCATTATTTTTTTGTGACAAGTTCAGATTCTCAATACGCGAAAATGCACTTTTGAACGCTATCCGTACGCCATGGGGTCATTTTGTACCCCCGGGGTGGTATTCTTCACATTTTAGAATACTTCTAGTACGAAGATGATCTCTTCGAAACTTTCAGTATTTCTCAAAAAGTCATTTTGACAGACTGCTATGCAAAGCGTGCGGATCGGATTAATGAGTAAATTTCCTCTTTGGAAAGTGGTGGCACAGAGTGCCCCACGTCGTATGGATACGATAGTGAAAAACGACGTACGGATAGGGTTAAACTTGATTTAGTGATTATAGATGGTCTAAAAAATTCTATATTCTTCTATTTCTATGTAACATAATCTTTTTATATTTCTATAAACTTCTGTGCCCACATACCACACAACAAACAGCCACGCAATCATACACCCGAAAATCCGTGTCGCCCATCGCATGTACCATTTTTTCTGTTGTTCGTGGGAAAGCAGTAGAGATCTAGAGCTAAGGGGATACTGTATCATTTTTTTGGTGACAAGTTCAGGTTCTCGATACGCGAAAATGTACTTTTTAATTGAGGAGAAATTTTTTTAAAGCGCGCACGACACGCGTGCATGAGTGTATGTGTGTGCAAGCGGGGAGGGTTTGAGTTTTTGTGCTCTCACTCTCAGAGTGCGAACCCACAGAGTACAGGAAAACAACGGAAGGGGACATATTTTTGCGTTATTTTCCGTGGAAAGAGATAGCTCAGCGGAATTCCCAAACATAACCTTGCATGTTTCTGTCAGTTAGTGCGTCCACACGTCACGCAACGAATAGCCAAGGAAACAGTTGCAAAAAGAAAAAACAAAGAAAATGAAAAAAAGTTGCACTGCATGCGCTATTTTTGGGGGTTTCCGTGGGTAAAGGGAGTCCAATTTTCGTACCAAATCCATGCTCCCAATGTTCGCCAAATGCACTTCCTAGTCACTATCTTTCGCCTGCGAACACAACACATCCCACTAAATTCCCACCTAAAGAGGATCCGCAAGGATACCCCACCCGACTGCCCGTTGTGTGACTGCCAGGATGAAACAGTATCACACCAACTCTGTACTTTACCTGCCCTGCACTTAGCGACATGTGTAGTACATTACCTACTACCTGCCTCCCCAGACATCAGAAATACTCTATACAGCGACAAAACACACCTGTAAATTTATTTGCCATATCGACAGACTGAGAGGCAAGAACTGAAATTGCCGCTGGATCGGTCAAGTCTACAGGAAAGACGAACTGATCGAACATGTTCATATTCATATGTATAGGGTAGTACCTTTTTTATTTATCGCCTACAATTGACACAGTCGGGGTAGTCTGGTTGACATCTCGGACAGTGTCATTCCCCCCGGGCAGTGCCACTGACTATATAGTGTCTTTAGGCCATTCCCAAAGGGGGAGGGAATTTAGCGCATCTTTTGAGTAGGGAGAATTCAAGAGTGCAAATACTTTCCTGTAGACATAATAATGATTCTTTCGACAAAGAAAAAGAAATATGAAGTATTTCACAGATAAATCAAGGTGAAACTGAAAGGATTATTTTTTAGCAGAAACGTCTCTGACATTTAATTTATGACTGAAATTTGACGACAGTGATAAAATCCAAGTCACACATCAGTACGTGGTGTGATCTCCATGTGTGCATTCAACACATCACTGCATCTACCGCACATAGAGTAGAGTGGAGAACACAAGTCTTCCTGCAGAATGTTTTTGACATGAGTGAGGGCTTGCTGCAGTCTGGGACTGGGATTCACGTAACGAACGGCAGTTCACCCTGTCTCACAGGTGCTCATTTGAGTTAAAATCTGGTAAAATGGCAGGCAGTAGATAGATCCATTGCAGCGACGTTATTCACAATTTTAGAGGCTTTAATTCCGAGTGGAGTGCACCACGTCCTAGCCATGTGCTGATTGTGTTGTCGGCAAGCGGTGGTCCAGCAATTTTTGTGTCAAACCAGGGCTGAGCGGGCAAAGCATTCGTGGCTTAGTTCTTAGGTAAAACCACCGGAAGAAAGCTGATTTTTTTTCTTTCAGTCTTACTCTTCGTAAGAATTTAACGGCACTTGCAACATAATAAGGTCATACAAGTTCCGAAGATTAGAGGCGTTAAAAGAGTAACGAACACAAAACAGGAGGAGAGATCAGGACGATAGATGCTTAATAGGAAAGAAGCAAACCACACCAGAGCACCCGCCAACCACCCACTTTTTCTTTCGGTCTCCACATATTGGACAGGTTTCTGTTTTATACAATACAGGTAATTAAAGAGGAACAAGGAGGGAGACTCCGTTCAGACAGGTTTCCGTTAAGGAAGGTTCGACCGTACTTCAAAAAGATCTGAAGAATACAATAGAATCTGAACGAATCTAGTAATACAAAGACAAAAAGACATGATGAAATCAACAATATAAATTTTATTGGACAAGGTTTAATTAAGCAGAGCAGACAGGTGATAACGTCTGCTGATTACACCAATGCTGCTCAAACCCTCAGGGTGAGAACAACAAACAGCAGACAGATATCGACCCATCATCAGTGGTTTCGTTCTCTCTGTCACTGCCAACAAAGAAGTCACATGTGGACAGACAGCTTCCAGAAATGCATCACTCAGCTACCAGGGTGAAACAAACTTGTGATTGTGACAGCTACCGTATGATTGAAATTCAAATATATAGCCATGGCGGTTCAGTTAAAACCTACACAATGTTACGCCTTTTGAACCAGAAAAAGGGTGTTTGCAGCTGCCCTTTATACCAGAAAAAAGGGTGTTTGCAGCTGCTGCTCTTTTTATGGCCCTTTGGACCAGAAAAACGGTGTTTGCAGCTGCACTATAAGGAAAGTATAACTTGGCCTTGGGACCTTGGAAAAAAAAAAAAGCACACATTGAGACTTAGTGTTAGCTCTATTTGAGTAAAGACAAGTTTTTATTCTGCACACATCAAGTCTAAATCCTTCCCTCACCGATAGAAATAGAATCTATACTTAAACATTCAGTGCTCTAGTACCTGTTAACAGAGACCCTTACATTTCAGAAAGAAAATTTACTTTAAAAAACCCAAAACAAAACAACAACAACCCAACCCTATATCAAATAATACAGGCGCCCACAAAGGATACATACATTTGTTTGCATTTCTTAAAAAAAACCCAACAACCCAAGTCTTATTCACTTAAGACAGAATTCCACACCCAACCCTTCTTTGACATGCTCTAAAAGCTGGGAACTTCTGGAACCCCCCCCCCCCCAAATATCACACGATATCTAACACAAGCCTTTTATGTTACCCCCTCCCCCAACACACGAATTGGGTATTACATCCATCTAACCATCTACTAATCCCACCCTTGATACACAAAGCCTACATTCCAACTGGTAAAGAAAGGAACAGAAAACCCGAAAACATGTCTACAAGATAAGAATCATGAATCTGTTCCCAGGAGAGGGCCCCCCCCCCCAAAAAAAAACAACAACAACCCAACAACCTAGCACATAGGAATTTCTTACATAGCGGGACCCTGAGAAAACATTACATTGCCAAGAACAAGCCCTTTGATCTACCAAATATTTAATGCAAAAACTAGATTTACCACAAGCACACCTAACAATATACTGCTAATTAACACAGACGCAAAATTAAAAAGTAAGGTACATCATGAACTTAAACTGCTTTGCAGTCAGCCACATTAGTCTCTCCTCAAAAGAAATCATAAAAGGTTATGTTTTCCAATAGCTAAAGTTGACAATTTTAACGTTTACCCCTGGAATCCTGAATAAAACTACCATAATTTATTTTGCAAAATGTGGTGCTGGCAACTAATTCATTGGAATATGATGTTTATTATTTTCCATTAACATATAATATCAAACATACAAGTAAAGCAGCAAAGGCATGCACACTTGTTCTCATATGACTTGTATACATTTTGCAGTCACTAAAACTCCACAAATGATATTTCACGAGTCAACAATGGTTTTAAGGCCATGGACACCAAACACAGGGACTGAAGCCAAAATGAAAAAAATAAATAAAAAAATAATCAAGCTTGGGCATAAATTTTAAAACTTGTGCAACAATGAAAGTTTGATGTGACAGATGAAAATTTCGCACATGATGGAATTACTGTCACCTGACCCTAGTCCCTCCCCTCACAAAAGAAAAAACAAAAACAATTTCAATGATACCTTAATTCAAAGATCAGTAATTCTACTTGGAAGACAATACTGATAAGACGTCTGCTTAAACATTACCGAATAGATTTGAACTGTGCAGCATCAATTAAACCTTGCCACACAAACCTGTATCACTTATGACCTATGTAGAAGAATGAAAAGGGAGAAAACGAACAAAGAGGCGAGAGGCCTCACTTATATTATCACATTGCTGCCCCAAAGCTTACTAGAACTTGGCTGCTTCAGTCAATGGGAACAACTTTAACAAGTCTATACAACAAAACAAAGAAAAACAACAATAGAAATCATAACCCTCTGGGCTGTCAAACAACTTCTCTGACAAACTTCAAGGTTCAGACAGATACCTTCTCCCTGTTGCAAAAGATGGCATACATTCACTTGTATTACATGTGCACAAACTTGGCGTGAGTCAGCAAACAAAAACATTTGATAATTTCAGCAGTGCCCATATCAGTCTAAAAGCCAAATATGCAAAACCATTTAATAATGAAATTCCAATCACTGTTTTGTATCCTTGACTACCAAGTCTCTCACCAGAGCCTCCACACACTAACCAAAAAGCAAGTACCGCCACCATTACACACAAATTGCGTACATAATATTTTTGCTAAATGAATGTCACCCCATCCCAACATGTCTAACGGTGGAACAAGTGGCGAGTTTGAATTTAGAAAGAACTATCAGCCAGTGACACACAACATACATGCTAACAATTACTGTATAATTCAATATCAAAACTACTTTTGATACGGCACATTTGGAGTAAACTTTTCAAATTCTTTTGGGGGGGGGGGAAGAAAGAAATGTTTATCAAAACATATTTTGCTGCTCATTCAAGTGGGGCACCTAATTATTAATAGAAATGGCAAATTCAATTTCTCCATAAAATACTCTGGTATCAAAAGAGACAATCTATGTTTTAGGATTCTATTTTAAACACGTGTAATAGAAACAATAACAAAGGAACAATATAACGTAGCATTCCCAAAGGACAGACAGAATAAATGCCCTTCTGTGTCTAAAGGTACTACCGTACTAATTACTTGCTTCTTAGGTCAAAATGTTTTGTATTACATCTTTCAAGCAATGCCGTGGGTCTTCAAATACACTCATAACAAATTTTGCCAATCATTCAAAAAAGACAATTTGGATTAAGAAAAAAACCCCCACAAAACAATCTAGGTATTCTTGCCCGCTTACCACTGAGCACAAAAGTTTTGATTTGCTTTAATCATAAATAAGTTTGCCACACAATTAATAACAAAGGTACCATATAAATAACAGAAATGTAACATCTTTTAAAACCCTCTTGGTGAAACTTGACAAACAACAGGGATGGAGAGAAAGAAAGAGAGAGAGAAAACTCTTTTGAGAGGGACAGAAAAAAAAAAGTGATCTCTACAATTCACAGATATCATTTATAAGAAAGCTAACACAAGATGAACACATTGCTTGCCATTATGTACAAGAGAGAACCAGTTGCACTTACTAGAACAATGGCTGCTTCAGGCAGCTGGCCCCACCACACTTGTCTCTGACACTCAACAAATCAAAACAAAAGCAGGAGGAAGAAACAAACACCTGTGATGAATCTATACATCCAAGGTTAAGCACTAAGACAGAAATCATTGCATGAATGGCGCTCCAGAGTCATCTCTTCTAGATTTTAGAACACAGCAACCACCTGATCTAACAAACCTGTTGACATCCATAAATTTGCTACATTTCCAGTCACTGAGTAACCAATTAATATTGTTCGAGAAACCACAACAGCTGCCTGAGGTTATTCAGCAACCAAAAACCAAGACAGTACAGTCTTATCTGCTGCATCAGCCGGTCCCTGCTTTGTCTGTATTTCAAGTAGAACACTCCTGTCCAATATTGTAGCCACTCATGCCAGGCAACTGAGGCATATCTCACATCTCGTCATGACATCATGGGTTTATTGAGACCGCTAGCTATGATTTGACTTCAACCCTTTGCTGGGAGGGGAGGGGAAAAAAAAAAGCAACAAAATTAGTACACTCAGAAACGAAACAACATAAAAAGAGAAAAATATATTGGTAAGCAATAATGATAGGTTCTTTTATATAGCACCCATCCCAGTGTGGCTCCTCACATTCAACAATGTTTTTCCAACAGAATCAAAGCAATATTTGGACCTATAAAGATCTGCAATCATCCCACTCTTACTTTCCATACTCATTAGAGCTGTGCCCATTAGACTTCACTGTTCACCATTCAAGATTACTATTTAATGGATTTTTGTCCCATTTTTCTCAAGCGTAGTAAAATTTGAGCACATTATAGCTAAAATCATTGAAATAAATACAGAAATACTCTTTTTTTTGTGTCTGTGTGTGTGTCAGTGTCAGTGTTTTACGGCGCTGGCAACTGCATAAGGTAACATGAGCTAGCAAAAATACTCTTTATTTGATGGTAATGAGACAGATTGACAAGAGTAGCCAACAAGTTATAACATTCCTCTAAAGAATATTCATTACTATTTAATATTCACTCATCACACTATGGATAGCTAAAGCAAGGGCACATGACTCTTGAAGCACAATGAATGTTTGAATCTTCAACATTTGTTTTTTGAAAAGAAATAAAATATGAACATTGAGTCAAAATTCTGTTATGTAAAGTTTAAAATCTCCTATTGAAACAGGCCAATTGTCATAAACCTAACATAAATTGGTACAGAGTAACTGGATTTTGAAAAGGGTAAAAAAAAAAAGAAAAAGAGTTGACAGGTAGCGGTTTGGTCTGAGCTAAGGCGCCGGCAGCGAAATAAAAAAATATAAAAAAATCGACGGCGCTGACAATTGCAGAAGTTAGGGTTGGACTTGTGTAAGAAAAAAACAACTTTCGACGGCGTTGCATCTTAAGATCAGGATGCCACGATATCAGTTTGAGTTCAGTATAGGATCGACCTTGGTCAATATCAAGGTAACAGACGAGACCATGACACAAACACAAGGTGCCAGTTAAGCAACAGGGCAATGAATACTCACTGGGCCATCCATTCTCCTTCTGTCATTGTCAAAATCCCACTGAGGTCTCCTTCCCCGACCACCTCGGTTACCTGAGGGGAGGAAAAAAAAAGGGGAGAGATGAAAAAATAAGTAAAATATATGGGCATTTAATTAAAAAAAACACACACAACAAAACAACCCCAAACAACCAAAAAACAAAACACCAGAGATAAAAGACATGAATGATACTTTCAAAGTAGAGGCGGTAAAGTACAACGAAGTCAGTTTGAGCAAAAACTTAAATAAGGCAACATCGGTTAGAGGAGGTGGCTAGACACCGACAAACATGACTTATTTTGTTTTAGTAAGTGTTTTACGGCACTTGCAACACAACAAGGTATAAGTGCTGAAGATTAGAGGTGTTACAAGAGAGTAACAAACACAAAAAAGAAGGAGGGGAGATACAGACGATAGATGTTTGATAGGAAAGAAGAAGCAAGTACCAGCAAACTACACCAGAGCACCCGCAAACCACCCAACTGAGCATGATTGACTGCTCTTTGCCCAGACCTGCCTACTTTAAAATTTGAAAATCTGTACAAATTAGACAGCCCCCCCCCCGGTAAAATTCCGTACCATAGTCTACCCAACCTGGCATGCTTAAGAGCTAACCCCCCCCCCCCCCCCAATCACCAGTTTGAAATCACAATTGTCAATAATTACTTGTAGCCTTTTGCTTTGTTTTCATTTTCAACATCACCCCTGACCTCTGGCCTTTGACAAGGGCCTAATCACTTAAAATATTTCACTTTAACGAAAAACAAACCATACACTATTGACCACTTGACACAATCGTGATCCGGTGAACTCCCAATAAATCCAGCGGCGCGGTCGCAGGCAGCATTCATGTCGCTTTGCCAGCCTACTATGCTAGGGCTTTCCCGCGGAGAGCGCAAGTAGGCCATTGATCGACTGCACTCAGTAGCAGCGTTTATGCAGTAAAGACACTTAACTGGGTTCGAAGTTGTGCTCACCAGCTACCCGACCATAATTCCCCCCCTCTTTAAAATAAAAAAATAATTTAAAAAATGAAGTTTTCCGTAACATATTTGTTTTCCGTAACTCTGTAACCGATATTCCCCCCCCCATAACAGTTAGGGATTATCCATAACAGCAGGCTAGTCTGTCTGCCTTGTGTACTTGGCTGTACAGGGAGACAGTAATATGGGTGGGTGGGAAAGATATGACACGTGAACAAAGAAAAAAACCCCCACAACAAACTTGGCGCCTACTGGTACAAACCAGTGAAAGAACACAATTTGCAAAGCAGGCAACCAAATTCCACAAGAAAAGACCTGGGAAACGGTGGAATGATTATTGTAAATCATACAAAGATGAACATGTTCATTTAACTCACCGCCGTAATAGCCCCCTTCCCTGTTGTAGCCACCGCCTCGACCACGTCCGCGCCAACCTCCTCGCATGTTACCACCACGCCAGTTGCCCCTGCCACGATAATTGCGACGGAAGTTTTCAGAAATACCAAACGTTTCACTGTTCAGCTTGCGTTCCTCTCTCCATGAATGTCTGTGCCTTTGGTAGAAGGAAAAAGAAAAAAAAAAGAAAACAGGTCAAAAATCAAATACAGCCCATATATTGTACAAAATGTATTTCAATAGCTTTTTAGGAGAAAATAGAGCTACAAGTATGTTTACGATACCAGCCGACTAAACCTGACCACACAAGACACAGATCGAAAGCCCGTGGCTTGACGTTTCCTTTTCAAAGTGAGACTTTTCTACTTCATTTAGAAGTTTAAAAATATAAAAACTTGGGTGCCTTTACTAGGTAGGATTTACACAAAACTAAAGAGGCCACCATCTTTTGAGTAACTGCACAGCTGTTCTCTGCACTGCTAGGCAAGCCCAATGGGTGTGTTCTCAAAGAGAAGGTTAATCAGGGGTCAAAAGTGTTCAACACAGAAAGGTAAAAAAACATAATGCTGCAAACCTACAAAAACACAACTGTCAATTGCATTCCCACACTGATTCAGATTCTGGCAAATGGGTACAGAAGAAATAATTTTAAAACCACAGAGCAGATTTTTCGGTCACTCTTTTATAAAAAGAGAAAGAAGGATAAAGATTTGGCAAGGAGACAAGGGAAAGGAAGAAAAGAAAAGGCCGTTGAAGATGAATGACATAAACAGTTATCAAAAACAATACCAAACAGACAACTTATAATTAGCACCCTATTGACGCACCATATTAAAAGAACAAACAAAAGAATAGCAATTACCCCTTTGATCTCTCTGTGGCTTCACAACTAATGTTATCAAAAAATGATTTCTTCTTGTCGTAGAAAATAGGATCATCCTCATCCTCCTCTCCTTCATCCTCTTCCACCTCTGGATCTTCCTCTCCTTTGTTGTTGTCACCGTTTACAGACTTGTCATCTGAAAAAGGCAAGCAATACCTTTCGTTGAATTGCATTAATATTCAAGACAAAAATACACTTTGTATTGGAATTACAATAAGAGCAAAACCCAACAGAAATGTCTATCAAAACCCACAAAGATTTCAAAGCACTCAGAACCCCGTTTATCCAACATTATTTAAATCATACATTTAACACATTACACCCTAAGGGCCTGGACGGGAAGTCCATTGTTAGATCCTAAGCAAGGGGAAAGAACCCACCTCCCCTGAATACAAGCCTTTATAAAACACATTTTAAAAATACTAAACAAATTCAAAAAATCCTGAAAAAATAAAAGTTAAAAAGAAAACTGAATGTAGTTTCAGAAAAATATAACTTTATGTATGCGCAAATTGTTGGAAATGTTCTAACTTAAGTTCAATCGGGGTGTCCGACCCATCACTCTCACTCTCAGCCTCGCGGTCGGGCCCTAGATCTAAATTCTAGATTTTCTCCGTCTGATCAATCGGAATCGCTCCAAACTCTTCCTACAACGTTTTCATCAAAATCTAACCCATCTGATTAGTCACATGCTTGTTTTTGCTCAAATCCATCGTTATTTCCGTTTTCGAACTCAACTGTGTCGCTTTTCAACAAGTCGAGACACTTTCGAAGTGTCGGTAACGCGATCGCACTTCGATCAGCTCTAATACTAAAACTACTGGCCCGAAAATTTTCGTTTCGGTATCAAACAAAAGAAGAAACTTTTTGCTATACTATGCAAATCAAAATCCCGGCCCCAGAGTCTCGTCAAGGCAAGACTTTCGTTTCTAAAGACGCTGGGTCGACGCGGGCGGTTCCGGGCGAGTCAGGGTGGAGTGCGTAAGGAAATTCCCGGGCGATCCCGGGTGTAATGTGTTAAATATTTAAGCCTACCCAAGGGTCAGCGCTCAACAGTTTTAAATACGACCTTTTATTGTAACACAAACTACCTCTACTTAAAGACCATTACTTACTTAAAGACAAGTTCTTCAACTTCAATTCCTTTTCAATATCATCCTTAGCAAACTGAGCATTGGATGTCTCAAAATCAAAATCGGTGTCAAACTTCAGAGGCTCTGCTGATCTTCCTCCACGCTGACCTTGACCACGTTGAACATTCCTTTGCCCACCACGAGGAGGTCCACCCCTCATCTGACCTGTGCACCAAACAGTAAAAGTCACTCTATCAACATCAAAACATCAGTACATGTACTTGACAAAGAGAAAAAAATACAAACTAAAATATTACTCATACATTCATGGCAATTTCACAAAAAAAAAACTTTCAACAAATGAAACAACATTGCTTTTCTTCTACAGCATCTGTCTATCTTTATACACCTTCACGAATGAAAGTGCAACCACAGTTCAACTGTTTTAGAAAAAAAATACCGACATAAAAATTTACATTTAGTAGCGAAGTATCAAAAGAAAAATCCTAACCACTTGTATCAAACAATGTAAAATAAAACGTCTCACAACGCAACGGAATGATGTGCTTGTCAATTTTAGAGCATATATATATGGAATGGAGTATATGGTATAATCTTACAGTTCATTTGCCCTGCTTTTGAGGAAAAAACTCATCAATCTTGAAAGGAAGTCGAGGTATTTGCAAGGGGGCGCGCGGTGGCGGCACGCATGCAATTTCGGGTCGCCCCAGGTAATATTAGCAAAAAAATGGCAGGCAAATTTTGGCGACTTCCAAAGCTGTGGTGTACCTGGAAACTGCAAAATTACTTTTTCCTAGTGCCTTTGATGAACCTTTTCCCAATTAAATCCACACAAAAATGCGTTTTTAAACCGAATACATGGTGTTGAAACCCAAACAAATTTGATAAAATGGAAAAAAATCTTGGTTTCTTTGATTTCATTATTTTGAAGAGCGTTTGAATTTACCAGAATACGACACAAATATGATATTTATGACAACTACTTTGAAAATTTCTTTATGATATATTTTTCATGATTCTACCCAAAGACAAAAGCGAACAATAAAAATGTGTCCAAGACCTTAATGTAAGAGTAAATGCTTAGGGAATCTCTTCCAAACACGTGGAATATTTTTTGGATACATTTAAAATGAAGCACTTTGGCAATGCCTCAATACAAGAAAATAGAAACCTCCATTACTACTTCTTCCTCTTGAGTATGACGCAGACGGTCCTCTTTCATTCCTAGGATCCCCGCGATCCCGATGGTCCATGCGATGAGCACCTCCCCCACCACCACTGCCGGCACTTCCCCTGCGCATGGGTTGGCCTCGTGGGTGCTGGTGATGCTGCTGATGAGGATGAATAGGACGAATATGCTGCTGGCTATCACCAGAAGACTTTTCTGGGCTGCTAGGCTGCACCTGCACCCCCTGGTCAGAAGTTGGCGATTTCCTACTCAATGGTGGGGTGGAGCTCTGGGAGCCTGTATAGCAGATAAGGAAAATAAAAACAGAATTAACAACTTTCACAACAAAATAAGTTTACTTAAGCATTAATGTAAATGGAGCTAAATTCAAGAATTCATGAATACTACCAAATCCATTTTACATTTACTTTACATTTTAAAAGTAGCAGACATGACAAAGGAGACTTATTGGACAATTGTCAGAATTGAAAGAGAACACATGTGCCATCTCATCTGTTTTCCCACTACTCCTTTCAGAGACAAAGGCAACCTATAGCTTTTAATCTGCAAAAGTAAATCCCTGCACACCACCTGCTCCAACAGTATTTAACACATTTAATTTCCATACAATCATAACAAAAAACCCCAAACAAAACCAACAACAAACAAACTGCAATACAAGAAGCAGCCCCCCCCCCCCCCAACGTACACAGCAACATCAAACAAACGCTTCTGTCCCTAGATAAAACCCTAACCGAGGACAAGATCAGAAACATATTACCACAGACAAAAGGTAACAACAGACTTATCACAAGAGATAAACAAGGGGCATGATGCTGCAGTGAATCTTTTACTTCAATTACTTTCATTACAGTTAAAAACAAAACGCATTCCACTGTAAGGCTTAAGAAATATCTACACTATGTACAGTGATTGTTGTACGTTTAAAACTTCAGAGGGAAGGACTTGGGGGACAAATTTTCGACAAAAAAGTCAACAGCTTTAGCCAGCTAAAGATGTATGAACAGTTTCTACAACAGATGGCATTAAAACCAGAAATAAGCAAATACCCAGTCTATAATGTTAAATAAATCAATATAGCGTGAAATGAAGCGTATTTGAAATCATACAAGCACACCACACATCAAGAGAGGAAATTAAAATTTTGAGTGATAAAAATCGTTTATAGAAGTGCGAGTGTAAGCAAAAAGATGTACAAGAAGACAAGTCAAAAAGTTAAGTTCATCGCTTCCGTTCCAGAGTATACCAAAAGCAATTACGAGACAGAATGAACGATTATCAAGGTTCAGGTACAATTTTTGTCTTTAAAAAAAAAAGCGATCTAATTCATCTGTGGGAACTGCACACTATCCCTATATGATTCAATTGTAAATAAGAGCACAATAGACTCTGAATCCTACAGACTAAGACCATTTCAATCTCTTTTCATCACATTCCATTATTCACAAAAAGTTCACACATATACAATAGAGAACAGAATTTAACTACAGCCCATTTGCCACCCTAACAGAATATTTTTCACAAACAATGAAAATAAACCCATACACGCAACCTTTCAAATACCATTAAGTGCATACTCGTCATTTTTAAACTTCAGCACCTATTTAAGTTATAGTTTCATTCATGGGAGGAGGAGGAGGAGTGGAGAAAGAAGAAAGAAGCAGGGCAGCACCAGTTCAAACAAACTCAACACATAGGGTGGAATTACATTTTCATCTCACTGACGCCCTTTATTGCCACTGGTCACACAATGCTTGCAAGAACGATTATCTGAAGACACCTTGAGACTCAAATCTGCCTCTGCCAATGCCTTCAAAGAATATTCAACTATACCGTCCAACTACAAACATCAATTACATCTTTTCACTTTGGCCTCACTAAAGCTCTAAAAGCATTACTGTATAGATTGTTCGGTAAACTTAACTATGTCTCACATTCTATAATATTTATGAAATACTAGAGAAATTGTGAAAAGAGAAATAATATTTTGAAGGACGTCAGTGCAGTAGACAAATTTTACTTCACATTTTCTAGACATCTACACTTAAGATTAAGTTATTAAGTACAGATAAACTACCATAAGCTTCAGAGTTAAGACTAGCATATAACTTGCTGATGTTAAGAAACAATATACTGTTTTGTTTTCATGCTTTAGATACGATTTTATACATGAATTTGCTAGGAAACACTTCTACAGTTACTGCATAAACATCACAAATGTGAAAGAAGGGGAGGGAAAGACCTGAATTCATGCCTATATTATAACTTTGTAACCCCCCCTTATAAATTTATAAAAGTTTTAAAAAAGGACCCAAAAAATCAGTCGGGAACTTTTGAATGTGAAAAATGTCAGATTGGAGTATACAAAAATTGAAAACAAGCCTGAAGGAGAGGGGAAGATAGATACACTCCCCCGAACTACAAATAAGTTCATGTTACAAGTTATTCCACAAAAGCTAGGACCTACCACTAGTGATTCTTATGAAGGTGATAGGAAAGTAGAAGAATTAAATTTCATGCTGCAGCACATACACACACCCAATCTTGCACCAGTTACCCACTGAGAGCCTTTTATCATAAAAAAACCCCAGGTATACAAAAGGAAAAGGTGCAGCCAAGCTAAAAGCAGGAATTAGTTGACAATTCACCAGCGACAGGTCTTGTACCAATAGCCGAAACCGGGGGACGAGGCATCTGTTCACTAGATGGGTCAATTCCAGGAGACTGATCTCTTGGGGAGCCTACACAATCACACAATCAACCACATCGAAGAGATTTGAAAATAGTGCATGACTCGAGGCTCGGGCGACAACGTTTAGTTAATGAGGAATGAAAGTGTTAATGAAAACCAAAAATCCCCCCAAAAACAACAAAAACTTAAATTAAGACGATTAAAAAAAAAACCCAACCCAAAAGGAAACAAAACAATGTCCCCACTACACCAGCACAAAGTGATTAAAAACACCAAATCTAAGAGTATAGAGAGCATGAGAAATGAAAACGGAAAGAAAAAAACAAAAATTTAACAGGTGACGGCCATTTCTTTCTGGTTACTTCTAAAGACCACGGTAATAAAGTGCTTATGTACTTGAGGTGAAAACATAAGACACAAATGTTAATATACCATAAAACCCACCATTTGGCTTACAAGGACCGACCCATTAAATGAAAATTATGAGAACTGGACATACTATTCAATGGATTGTTGTCTCATAAGAAGGAAAGATCCAGTCATCATCAAATTTTCTGCCCTGTTTAAGGAGTTACTTGACTGGATTGATAACAACAAGGAGGTACTTGTCTTAGAAGAAATAGAACCCTACCCATGCCAAAAACCATCAAGCATTTACGTACCACACTTATAGGGCTAACCATGACACCTCCCCCCCAAAAAACCATGGTGACATCTTCAAATTTATTTGATCTAAAGCTTTTACGCAATCATTTAAAGGGAATGCAGTGATCACATTGTAGAATCCACACTGATAAATGGTCAACTTTAAGATTTGGTTTTAAAAGTATGTAACTAATCTACCAACCCGGAAACACTGATCAAAGTACAAGATAACTGTTAGTAAAAGGAAACAAGAACAAGAAGGCTTCGGTATGCGTAACCATAACACCCACCAGGTTGCCCTTGAGGTGGTGGCATGCTGAAGTTTGATGACGGCTGGCCTTGGCCACCAAAGTACACATGCTGGCCAAAAGGCTGGTACATCTGACCAGGTGGGAAGCCTGCAGCACCTGGAAAAGCAGCACCAGCCGGCCCAGGAGGAGGTTGCGATGACTGGAAGAAGAAGAAGAAAAAAAAACAAAAAAAAACCGAGTAAAGAGTGAAAATTTTGTACTTTAAAAAGAGCAAAAGTTAATTCAGTACATGTCAAGAGCAGCAAAATCGTGCAACTAGTCAATATTAGGTAATCCGGCAATTTCTCAGATCATAGCGAGTTTAAAAAAAAATGATATGACCCAACAGAAAAGCGCCCGACCCAAATTAGTGCATCTAGTTTCAAAATGGCAAAGGATGACAGCATCTTTTCATTGTAAGACGAAAAAATATATCCCAACACACATCAGATTCATACATTTAATATACTGCCCTTGCAATACCATACTATTGTATCACACATAATTTAAACACACTTCAGCTTACTGCTGCAAAGGAATCTTGTCTTACCTTAACAATGGCAGGATCAAGAGGAACACCTTCAGTAGGCTGTGGCTTAGGCGGCTCACAAACATGGAGATCCTTAATGTCAAGCCCACGGAAAATAATGAACTCAAAGACCTCATTTCTTGCTGGCAACGGGCGGTCCGTGGGACGATCTTCTGTTCCAAATGACCGCACTGTTAGAAAAAAAAATACTCGTCAGTTTTTCATATATTGAGAAAGAGAAGCACATCGATTCAGGAAGTCATACAAGGCAAGGAAAAAGCAAGATCGGGGGATAAAGAGGGGAAGGGGAAAAAAAAGAAAAAGAAAAAGACGAACCCCTACAAGCAGTTACCATCTGGCAGAGCCTTACTCATCATACTCTAGTAATATTTAATATAGCAAAGCCAATTGCCTGCTGTGCTTTGGGCCGGAAATTGGGCCCCGAGCTCAGGGTAATTTTTAGGCTGCTCGGGATCAGAGTTCTGATGGTTTTGAAAACCAATGTGCGACCAGAGGGAATTAATGGAAACTGACCTGTATTTTTTTTTACTTTCGAATGCTGGAAGGGTTATTTGAACGGGCGTAACCACTTATAAATAATGGCACAAAATCGGGGGGATGTTTTAGTCATGTGTTTGTAATACTAGAGAAAGCTTAAATTGTCTAAATATCTATTAGTGACGGGGAAATGGTCCACTGTCCGCAAAATGTCTGGTGCCAAATAGATTACTGAAAGGCTGACAAGCGCCCGTGAGGCTTTTTTATTGTGAGAACTCACAATTAAGCCAATGTTTGTATGTACCCGGTACTGATTTAAAAAAATACAGCGAGCACCTAGCACATCTCGGTGATTGGCCCAAAATAGAACACACATTTCCACAATGTATTTTTTGTTTTCTGGGGTTTTCCGCCCCCAAGACTCTGGGTTTCCCTAGCCAGCAGCCTAACTGTTGACTAGATCTCGCTGTGTTTGTTAAAAAAAAAATTAAGTGTGTTATCTTTTATAAACAATCTTTGCAATCCTCGTTCCACAAATTCACCTTCTCCTCAAAGTTGTCACACACACACAGCCCAAGCAGTCGGCGATGAAACCTAGTGACATTTTTGTCATCTTCCAGGGTTTCCCCCCCAAAGACTCAGGTTTCCCTCTCCAGTTGACGAGATTTCCCAGCGTTTGGTGTCTTTTGTGTTATTTTTTTATAAACAATCTCAGCAATTCTCGTCTCATTAATTTGCAGTCTCTTCTAGTGGTACACACACACAAGCGAGCACGCAGACACACAGCCCAGGCAGTTAGCGATGAAACCTAGTGACGTAGCCCATTGCCCACTAAGTGGCAACTCGGGCCCGCCACGGTGAGATCTAGTCAACTGGCCAGGTAAGCCCGGAAGACGAAGATGGTGTATTCCCGCCATCTATTTCTGTCGTCTTCACGTAAGACTTATAGGCTTCCCTCGCCAGTAACGGAGGACTAGATCTCGCTGTCTCTGCTTTTTTGTGTGTTGTTTTTATTAATTTAGTACGAGCTTATCTTTATAACAACATCAGCAATTCTCGTTCCATAAATTTACCTTCTTCCAAGTTATAAACACACATAAACACAAAGCAGGCCCGACACTGTGAGATCAGACAGTGTTTAGTTCTAGTTTTACGCCGCTCGCAACTACATAAGGTCATATGAGCGCACGGGACACACCAGTTGGTAGGAAATTTTGAATTTTGCCAGGGTGGCTGTCGAAGCCTACTCTTATCGATTTTAGACCACCAAGGGATCTTTAACGTGAGCAACTTGCACACGGGCCCTCCGAGATTTTTCGCCCTTGTCCGAGAAGGCTAGGTGTAGATCTTTCCTACCAGAAGATCAGGGGTGTGGCAGAAAGACAGCAGTAAGGAGGAGCCAAGGAGTAGCAGTAGAAAGGCTGCAGAAAGATCAGGAGCCCAGAGGAGGGGGCAGAAAGTGGAAATGAAAGCAGACAACAGAACATTACTAGAGAGCAGGAAAGGAGGTGAAAGGAGACAATTCTAGAGAAGAAAATTTTTCGGTCGCTACCCAGATTCGAACCCGGGACATTTGAATGAGAGGCCAACACCTTAACCTCTAGGCCACGAGAGCCCCCTACAAGAGAGTAACAAACATAAAAAAGAAGGGGAGAAAAGAACGATTGATGTTTCATAAGAAAGAAGAAGCAAACCACACCAAAGCACCCGTCAACCACCCACGTTTACGTACATTGTCTCTGGTGAGATCTGTTAACTGCTAGTCAACTGGCAAAGGAAGCCCCAGAAGATGACAAAAATTATTTAAAATAGACGGCGGAAATATGTCATCTATATTTGGGCCAATCACAGAGATGAACCTGGTGCTCACTGTAGCTTCATGAGTTCATAACAAATAGTGAGCTAAAGAACAAGTCACATTTTCAATGTAAAAATTAAAAATAGAGATAAGGAAGCACCGAGGTAGTGTAATGACTATTCAACTTATGAATGAGAGAGGGTTATTTATGTGAGTATAACACATCTACAAATCTTGATCTAATCGGGAATCTATGAAAATCGTTGGCAAGCACTATTTGCAACGTCACGTTCTGAATAGCCCCCATGCTATTTGAAACGCCATGTTCTGATTAGCTCCCATGCTATTTGAAATGCCAGTACTACATCTAGTAGCCATCGTTTCTACATAGTAATATAGATCTCTAATATTGTAGTTTTGCCTGAAATGTGGAAGCTTTCTCAATTTCTTGATAAACCTCCTAGGATTTGACTCTTTTTTTATGACGTCTTATTCCGATCAATATTGGGTAGATCTTGATCTAGATCTATCAATTGTTTCTGACACCGACATTGTTTGCACAAAAGTAGTCTAGTCCATCTCTCATAACATAATCACTTGAGTGTGAGCAAGTCAAAAGACGCTTGGATAACAAGATGGTGCAACTCGGTCTTAGCACTATTTCCTGGTCCGCAGTGTCGTCACACAATACCTAAAAATATTTGTTAGATATATATCTGTGAGCACTTTATATTTTGCCATCACACATGACGTCGCCTGATCTAGATTTCTAGGCTTCGGCGTTTAAATTAGCAGGGGATAGTGTATACAAGCTGTCTACGTTCTCTAACGTTCAGTGCTTCCAAGCCTGGCATCGAATCCCGGTCCCAGAAGGTTTTTTTTCTTCTCCTGAGCCTAAAATTATTTTTTAAACATAGACTCACAGACCAAGGAAAGCGACTATTAAACTTTAACCAGGCCTAAATTGGTTAAAGGAAAAGTATAGACCTACTTTGTAGGTAAAAGGTTTTGCGGACAAAACCAGAATGTGCATGCTTCATCACTACATAAAAAACTACAAAGCATCAAGTTATAATTATGGGAAAAAAATGTTGGTCAGTCAGGAAGAGGAGTAGATTGAACCCCCCCCCCCAAAAAAACAAAAAAACTTCCAGGACCGGGATTCGTACCCACGCTCATAAAATAATGGTTTGATTCAAATGCAGACGCGCTGTCCATTCCACCACCAGAACTTCCAACAGCGCAGCGTAGATTAAGCGTCATATTTAGCACTGGCGCTAATCCCAACGCAGTGTTTTTTTAGCACTAATCGCAAAACAGCGTTGCAAATAGGCACCCCCAAACGTAAATACAGCGAAAACACTAGGCCATGGCAAGATCGACGGCAAAAAGACTAGAGGCCTCGAGGAATCGAGTCGGGTCCGATGTTCGAGTTTGGAAGCTGCTTCAAGTGGGCTGTTTAGAGGCCATGACTTGAACACTGCTAAAAATAGCTCTTAAGATCGAGGCCTCGAGTCTCGACTTTGACAGACGTGGCCATCATTGGATGTGGCTGGCTAAGCCTGCGCGCGTGCCACGACAAGTTGGCTTTCACGCATTTGTGTGTGTGTGTGTTGCCTCCCTTCTATCACTCTTGCCAATGCGTGGGGCATAGGCTCCTCTCTTGCACCCTTTGCTTCCTGATATGTCAAAGCATGCTTTGATGACAAATGTTTTGTTATTGTCAACATTGTGTTATTGTATGCCAAAACATTATTACAAATCATACAAACAACAGTACTGTGTTTTCCTGCTTATTAAAAAAGTCCCAAGCTAAAGATCGACGTCCAGACATGATGACTCATTGATGTCAACTCAAAACACACAATATGATTTACAAAAGAATATGTGTACAGTGAGGATGAAAGTGCAGTGAAATAATAAAAAAAAGCAAGCGCTCAATGTTCAAGACAAAAGAAAGAGAAATGGGAAGTGAATGATTTAATTTGGGATGGGCGGGGGTGGGGCAACAATATTAAAAGTAGCAGTAGCCTATGTGCAGCGTGGTTTCGTACTGGGCTACACGGTGGACACGGGAAGTAGGCCTAGGCCTAGTTTAGCATTCACTCATAGCGGGGAAGACAAAGAGGAAGAGGAAGGGGGGGGGGGTTGCGTGAGACAATTGCAAGTAACTGACAGGCAGTTTCTTGCCCCTACCTCACTAGGCCTACGAAAGTTCGTCACGGGACAAACCCGTCTGACGTTTGAAACCTTTGAACTTGAATGTAATTAGACCTGCATGTGAGCCTCAACCAGATTGTCTGAAAATTTGGCGCAACCCCACCCCCCCCTATAAGAGCTTTTGTGGGTGTCATAAGGAAGGACTTCCGAGTAACGAGCGACCACCCCAACAAACACAATAAAGAGACCTAACCCTACCCCTACTCCAAAAAAGAACCTGCAACGGGCCTCATGTAAAAAGGCCAGGACAAGTCCAAAATGAAATTTTTTTTCTTTCTCCAAACCACACTCAAATCAAAACAAGGAGCATATCATCCATTGCCTACATCTAGATCTACATTGCTATAATAGGGTTTGATACAATAACACAATAGAATTGGAATATATCAATCCTCCATATAGATCTAGATCTAGTAATCTAAATAGGAAGAGGCTAGCCGTACTTAATGACGGCTAGAAGTCTAGCCGTACTTATTCTAAATATGATGGCAAGGCGACTGACCATTTAAAAAAATTAGGCCTACTGAATTGTAAATATACATTTTTAGTGTGCAGTACCTAAAGTATTTGTATTTGAGACGAAACCAGGTGCCTTAATGACTGTGCAAGTATTTTAAATCTCCTGTTTTCTAATGTTAATAGGGCCTAAGATAACTAGCCGTACTTAAGGACGGCTAGACTGTCAGGCTAGCCGTACTTAATATTGATGGCTGAATTGTAAATGAATTTTTTAGTTTGCAATGCCTAAAGTATTTGTATTTCAGACAAAACCAAAAGGTGCCTTACTGACTTGCATGTATTTGAACCTGAATAATTACTAGATCTAGATCTAATGAGACCTGTGTACTTAACAGGCTTGAGTCGATAGGGCCAAACCTAGATCTAAGTACGGCTAGACTGGCAGTCTAGCCGCTTCGATCTAAATAATTCTGTGATCTAGATCTTGTACAACAAGTGAATAGGAATAGGCCTTGAACTAGATCTAGAAATCCGTATCCAATTCCAAACAGAGGGACACAGCTGAGTCTAGAATCTAGATCTAGATCTAAATTCTAAATAAATAAATAATTCACGCACCTCGTGAAATGCTTTTTACCAACATTAATATTACAGTACAACCTATGATAGGGTTTGACACAATAGAATTGGAATATGAATCCTCCATTGAGGTCTATAATGATCTATAAATCTAGATTCTATTAGAACAAGTGAGTCGGACTCGAATGAATCCACACGATCTGATCAACTGAATTAGTCAACAAACGAAATTCAAAATGGCCGCTCAAGCACGAAACTGAAAGTAGATAATTTAGGTCGTCGCCCTTTTTCGTATTCGCATTTCAGGTTCCGACAATTATGTCGGAAACGCCGACGTCGGCAATCGGGTGGTCGGCACTAAAACGACAAAGCTGACGGGAGAAAAAGGGGGCGCTGGCAGTCGGCCAGGCCTCGCAGTAAGCAGTTCGCACATTGACTAATAATACAGGTGGGCCCAGCGATAGGCTAGCATCGGCCGGCTTGCGGGTCGGATTTCAGACGATTGTCGGCAAACATGCAGGTCTAGTGTAATGTACTGCACCTATTATTGGGACGTGACATTTTTGTTGCATTGAGTCCCGAGCAGTTGTTGTGAATTGCTACAACATCGGAGGGACAGGATGACCTAATACTGTTTTCTCTTTCTCTTTTGTCTAATACGAAGCAACAGAGAACAGGCACAAGCAACCTCGATTCATCCACCTTGAAGACATAGTCTTGAATCTACATACCATGTATCAAGGCCTAGTGCATGCCAAATGCAAATAGATCTAGTGAAAAAACCCCCCATAAGTAAACAAAACTCACAAAAATTAATTTAACTTGGTAATCGGTCATTAAATTGGGTTCCCTGCTTAATTTTGCTAATTTTGGGTCCCTGATCACAGAAATATTAATATTTCTTAAATTTGGCCAATATTTAAGAAATTTTTGGAATGCATTTTAACTCCGCGTAGGCCAACATCAAAGAAACCGCCTTATGCGCCTGATCAGTCCTGTCCTGGTGCGGTGTCTGTTCTGAAGCGAAAAACTCGACTGTGGGGTGGGACAGCCCGAGGCCTGTCCCACGACAGGACTGTAATAGTGCGGTCGAGATTTAGATTCTTGCCTCAAATCTTGGAGTCTAGGCTGGGAACCAGGCTAAAAAAAAGGAGACGGGATGCATCGACCCTGGGCGGACTCGAAGCTTCGAGTATGTGAACAAGATCGATTCTTCGAGTCCTCATTTGGACTCAAAAGAATCGATCCCAGAGTCCATCTTGCCCTGGCCTAGAAAACACCCTTTTCCCTGACCTCCTAGGGCACTTGTGACATGTGCTGACCGCTCTCTGAGGCTGAGTGAACCTAAACACCCTGCACGGAGTGTTGGCTGTGAAGAGTTGCGGGTCAAAAGTGGGGTGTTTCAGAGACAGCATCCCCCAGAATTTGATGTTTTGCAATCAATTAATTAGATCTAGATCAAGGCTACAGTTCAAATTTTCTTGACGAGTAGTGACAATGAAAACTTGATCTGCGGCGGAATATAGGATACGGCAAAATGAGGTCATAATATTGGGCCCAATATTGATTCAGCAGCCAAAATTGAATGTTAGGCCCCTAAAATTACGGAGTGGTTATCCGTACAACTGTGCGAACAACTCTGTCTAGCTATCCGTACAACGTTGTACGCACAATTGTACGAAGTGCTGCAGGTATCCGTACAATAGCAGGCCTGTATGCCCACAGGCCTACTACCTACATGTTCTGTCTTAGTAGATCTAAAAATCTAGACCTAGGATCTAGAGATTCTAGATCAGTGTTTCCAATATTCCACCAGCTGAAATTTTTAAATTTTTCGTAAGACCTCATCTTCCGATCTGATGCCAGCTGCCTCATGCAAAAAAACAACACACAACAACAACTAGATCTAGACTCTAGATAGATAGATCTAGACCAGATAGATAGATCTAGATCAAGATCAGATCTAGATCTATAATTATAGACAGATCTTGATCTCCTTATATTTTAATAGAAGTATAGATCTAGCCTACTTTTCCTTTTAGGCCTAGTTAAAGTTATTACATCGATGCTCAACCCAGGGGAGAACCAACTGGATGACTAGATATAGATCTAGAATCTAGATCTAGATGTCTAGGCTTATTTTTACCAACGAAAGTGGCTATTCTCACCCGCCCGGAAGTTCTCGCAAGATCAACTCCTCCCCTCTTCTCTCTCTCTTTCTGAATACCGTCTATCGGTGTGGATGATCAAATTGACCAAAACAAAGTTAAAAAAATGATGTTAACACACAAAAGTAAATTAATTTGGTTGTCTACAAAGATGCTACGGCTATTTAACTTTTCGAATCGAGCCGAACTACCCGGGTCGCCATTTTGTTTTGCCCGGAAATTCTCGCGCTAGTCTACTCCTCTCTCTCTTTCTCTCTCCACTGCCCACAGACAAAATTGTACGCTTTTAGTAGGCTACAGTTGTAATGGAACGTTTGTTCATGGCACAGAATTCTACAATTTTTCTGTTATCACAGTGTAGAATTCTGTGGTTTAGGGTGAACGCAAAATTTGGTGAAAATACCCCAGCCTTTACCAACAACCTTCAAAATTCGAATAATTGTACAAATAACTCTGGTTATTAGTACAATTGTACTAATAACTAAATCTAGTTTAGAGTTGTACGCACTATCTGCAGCCTAAAATTAATACATCTGCACGTGGGAATGATACTGATAGCCTTGAAAATTTTTACCCATTATCATTAGGGCTAGGCGACATTTGGAAGGACTTCCGTAACGAGCGACCACCGCATCAAACACAATCAAAAAGGGCCTTCCATTACAACTGTAGCCTACTAAAAGCGTACAATTTTGTCTGTGGGCAGTGGAGAGAGAGAGAGAAAGAAAGAGAGAGAGGAGTAGACTAGCGCGAGAATTTCCGGGCAAAACAAAATGGCGACCCGCGTAGTTCGGCTCGATTCGAAAAGTTAAATAGCCGTAGCATCTTTTTGTAGACAACCAAATTAATTTACTTTTGTGTTTTAACATCATTTTTTAACTTTGTTTTGGTCAATTTGATTGTCCACACCGATAGTGGCGATAGACAGTATTCAGAAAGAGACAGAGAGAGAGAGAAGAGGGGAGGAGTTGATCTTGCGAGAACTTCCGGGCGGGTAAGAACAGCCACTTTCTTAAAAAAGAGGCCTAGACCTAACCCTACCCTTACCCCTACCCCAAGGCCAAGGCGTCAATTCTGCTCTGTCTCAGTGGTCGTTCGTTACGAAAGTCCTCCCCGACATTGTATGACAGCTTTGATTATCATTATTGTCCTAGCAACTTTGAAAAAATTCAAAGACAAATTCAGCTGCAAAGGGGCCAGGGCCAGGGGGAGTCAACTGCACAAACAATGAAACATGCCATGACAATCATAGATCTACTAATCATTGGGAATGGGACGGTTTTCAGCCACCTAAATTAAAATCTAATAACTAAATCTAGAATCTAGTTGATATAAAGATAGATCATCTAGAATGTAAGTCCAGTTTTTAATCTCTCTCAAGCAAACTCAAAGGAAAGGCTGCAACAACAATTGTTATTATTACAGACTATTATTAGATCCGAGGGCCTCTTTACTGTCTTTAGTGTTTGTAATCTAGCAGTTGACCACTCACAATTTATTACTCTTGTGCAGCCTTGTTAGGCCCTAGGCTATCGTGTTTTGCGTTTTAAGCGTACGCAGATAATAAAATAGGACAAGCATTAATTCTCATACAATTTCCAGCCTTTAACCAGAGCAGGCAAATAAGGACGCAAAAACACGAACCTTTGGCGAGAGCTACAGTAGCTTCTTTCGGGTCGATTGTGTAGAGAGTTCCTTCATAACGAATTTCAGCTTTGGATATCAAGCTTATTTTACTTCCAAGATAAGGCACCGCAGCCGGCCCTGCAGAGCACGGTACTCCCTGGCCGTGGCTCATCGTAAAGCTTGAGCAAAGACCAAGCCTAAAGAGAGATGGCCGTGGATTTCCTAACGATCGTTTTCGGTCTTCTATAAGATGGCGATCATTTTCTTCCGAATTTTGAACCGGATATACAGATGGCGCGGATGTAGCTATCCCAGAATACACTAATGGGCATGCGCAGTGTCATTTCAAAATTGGTAAGCTAGTGAAATGGCGGAGCAAGGGTCTATGGACGATCTCTTGTCAACAGAAATAGATGAAAACAAAGTAACTGCGTTGGTAGGCTCTTTAGAATCACAGTTGGCTTCTGCTACAGGCAAAGAATCTCACAAGGTTGTTTCTGCTTCCTCTTTTAATAACAATCACATCGGTGGGAATGCATCGCTTGCGAGTACTCCAGGCACCGTTCACAACTCCAGACCACAACACACAGTTGTCAGCGTGCATGGTCTCTCAGCGCACCAGTCTGCAATCAGTGCCAATAAGGTGGTTCCTCAGTCTACAAACATTATAAACTCCGTGAAAGGTAGTTTAAGCAATCCTCAGATCATTGGAATTTCATCTATTGGAATTGAATCTATCAATTCAAGCTCTGCAAACCAGCAGGCGTTGAACAGAAACAACTCAAACTCCACATCTCTTTCCAATGCCAATGTACCTCAGCAAGTTCACACCAGCAAACACCTAACCAATTCACCTTCTATACGCATAGTTACAAATAATTCTAAACCTCCCAATTCAGCCGCAGGTCAGATACAGACTTCCAATACACAGTTTTTAAACAGTGCCATGTCTCAAAGTGTAACGATACGACCCCAGGGTCATGCCCTTAATAGGGTAAACATAAACGCTTCAGGTGCCAGTACTGCTATTCATAACTTGGCTACTATTGCTGCTGAGGCAAAACCATTGATAGTGTTACCTAATGGTAGCAACCATTTACAAAATGTTCAGCACAAAGACGGATCTGTGATACCTCATCAAATTGTGGTGAAAAGTGATGCTAATCATGCTGTGAAACGGGAAGTCAATCCCCTCGTGAAAAGTGATATTTCAATGCCAAACTCTGTGATACAAGGTGTAAGGCAGGGTGCACCTATAATATCTAGTGGTACTCAGCACATACGAGTGACTGGAACCAGCAATCCGAGCATTGTTGCTGTGAGGACAAATACACCCCATTCGCAGCATGTTGTTGTTCGAGCTACTGTTGCAACGACGTTAGCAAATTCATCACCATCTGTGCAAGTGGTCAATGCTTCAGCGGCTGGTACCCCTTCCACATTAAGGCCTACTGTGACTCCTCAGATTAGACCAGGACAAGTTCGTATTTCAAATCCTGTGAGAACTGCAGCTCCACAAAATATTGCACCTAGGCAGCAGACCTCCCAAACAGTAAGTAGCCTTTTTTCTTTGGCCACCTCTATTCTCACCCGGAGTGAGAATAGTGCAGGCGAGTCTTGTGGCTATTCTCACCGGGTGCGCGTTCACCAAATTTTGCGTTCACCCTAAACCACAGAATTCTACACTGTGATAACAGAAAAATTGTAGAATTCTGTGCCGTGAACAAACGTTCCATTACAACTGTAGCCTACTAAAAGCGTACAATTTTGTCTGTGGGCAGTGGAGAGAAAGAGAGAGAGGAGTAGCGCAAGAATTTCCGGGCAAAACAAAATGGCGACCCGCGTAGTTCGGCTCGATTCGAAAAGTTAAATAGCCGTAGCATCTTTGTAGACAACCAAATTAATTTACTTTTGTGTTTTAACATCATTTTTTAACTTTGTTTTGGTCAATTTGATCGTCCACACCGATAGACAGTATTCAGAAAGAGAGAGAGAGAAGAGGGGAGGAGTTGATCTTGCGAGAACTTCCGGGCGGGTGAGAATAGCCACTTTCTTTTTCTTTTTACAATTGCTACTTTATATCATGCAGTGACTTCTAGTTAAGCTTGTATGATTATGATATGGTGGACAATGATGATTGTTTCGTTTATAAATTTTAAGAATATTTTGAAGACCTAGATTATATCTAGTTCTGGTAAGTCATACTAAAATTCGAAAAGACATCTGATTTGTGTTCCTTCCGACTTCAGACTCATTTTTAGGGTTACTTTTATCAAAATTGGGGTAATTCTTACCGTCTACAGTCCCTACAAGTTTGTTTATAGTCCACCATCATGATGAGCACCCTAGACTTCCAGCAGATGGATTCCAGAATGGCGTATGACATCCTTTCGATGTTTCGTTTTCTTTTTTGTCGCCTTACAATTATTATTAATTAGTAAAATATTAATTATGTAATTGCTACTCTATGATAGGACTTTCCTTACATTATGGCGCTAGGTTAGGTACCACGGTGACAAGTGGAAAATTACGTAGTTGAACGTGTCTTGTGGATTTTGCCATGCAACTCTCTCCACATTAATTAATTTTTTTTGGGGATGTTTTACGGCACTCGCAACTGCATCATAAGCCCATATGAGCGTGCGGGACATCATCCCAATTAGGACTGGTATCATATCTTTTCGTGTCTTTGCATTTTAGTGTGACCGGTTCTGGTATTCTAGACTTTCTTTTGGTTGCAGTCGGAGACATCTCTACAACTCAATCGCAATCACAGTAGCCAGGCTAAGGTGATGTTTTAACGAAAGAATTAAGAAGATAGAGGCCTATACAATTAAAAAGACAAGTTTCATTATGAATACAATGTGTAGTATCTGGCTCTTGTCAAAATACTCAAATAACCATTTTTCTGCCCATTGGGAAATTTTTATATACATTTTTTATGGGGTCCTCAACGCTTTTTATGTCTGTTTATAAACACATTATTAATGTCGAGGGTGTATTTTTTTTAAACATTCGTCACAGGCACTAAAAAAAGCTAATTTGCAGTTTTAGATAGGCGGTCAATTTCTTGTTAATTTTACCTCTGACACCAGGCAACCCCCACCTCTTTCAATCGCAAATCTCGACCTGTGTTTAAGACAATATGTACTCTATATCGGAGGACTTCCGTAACGAGCGACCACTATGAGACAGCGTAGAACAGAGGGGTAGGAGTAGGGTTTAGGTTTGGGTTATGGTTACAGTTTGGTCTCTTTTTTATTGTGCTTGTTGGGGTGGTCGCTCGCTACGGAAGTCGTTCCTTTATATACATGATATATATATAATCAAAATCAAGAAAAATGAACAAGCTTTAAGAAATGTGAGGCATCATGGTAAAATTGGCAGGCTTTTGTCAAAATAATAAAATCAAAGAAGCCGACATTTTTCTGGTATTAAGTCAATTTTTATTGATATTTCTTTGGGGGGGTTCAACACCTTTCATGTCCATTTAAAAGCACCCTCTGTGTGGAATTTATTATGAAACGTTGATCAAAGGATACAAAAATGTAAATTTGCAGTTTCCAAAGACACGCAAGATTTGGAAGTCAGCTGGTAAACTTTGGCGGTAATTTTTTTCGCTAATTTTACTTCTGACACCGGGCGACCTGACCCCCCCCACCTCTCTCATTCATGGTAATCATTGTAATTGAGGATAATTATTGTTTTCCGTAGCCTAATTCTGGTCTTTTATCGTTATTTACTACCTAAAAATTCACAAAAATCTGACATGTCGTCATTTCCTTTATTGGTTTAACCCTATCTGTACGCCCTGGGGTCTTTTTGTACCCCTGGGTTGTATTCTTCACATTTTAGAATACTTCTAGTACGAAGATCTCTTTGAAACTTTCAGTATTTGTAAAAAAAATCACTTCGACAGACTGCTATGCAAAGCCTACGGATTGGATTAACAAGTAAATTTCAGGTCCTCTTTGGAAAGTGGTGGCACAGAGTTTCCCACGTCGTATGGATGTATGGGTACGATACTAAAACACGACGTACGGATAGGGTTAAAACTTAAATTTGCTACCCTGTGTAACATAAATAACTCACATTGAGCGGCAAATGGCAAATCCAAAGAGAGCAATATTACAAAAATGGCATGCCCCTGTGACATCGAATGTAGTTGCACAGGGCAGTAATTTAAAGTCTGAAAGTAAAGCTTGCATCTAAGTCTGAGGATGATGTTTCTGGTGAATTTAATAGTAGAAAATGACAACAAAAGAAACAGAAAAGACTTACCATAAACGAGTTGTGAGGGAAATCTGAGGGTCAAATTTCACCTTTATTAAGTACCAAGTCTGAAGTAATATAACTTTTCAACCTGGAAGATTGCCCTTCTTTGACAAATCTAATTGTCTTGATCGTCATAACCACATAGTCATGATAATGCTGTGTGTGCTTACAATTTGCTCCATCTTTGACCTGACAATCCATTGTCTGTCTCTGTGATAGCTAGCTCTCCTTGCTGTGGGTCTTAAGATTTATACCGATAATTGTTTGCTCAATCTGTGTCATGATTGGCAGGATTCCTTTTTTTTTATGTCTACTTTGAGAAAATAAATTTGAGAAATGTTTCTTTTGTACTTTTTAATTTGAAAACATGGCAGGCTGTTCAGTATGGTTAGTTTTTTTTGGGGGGAACATGCTTGCTTATAATGTGAATAAGAGTTAAGCCTTGTGCTCGTATTCATGAGATAAGCCATTCATACCATGTGTATGTGTTTGCCATAAATGGATTTACCTGATTTCATTTCATTATGATGTTGGGTGTTTTCTTCTGTTCTGAAGCTTCTGATGACATATTAGGGTTGTTATTATTGTATTTAAACTAGTCAAATTTTTACTGTTTATAATGTTGATTAAATTTTTCGTTAAGAAACAATTGTCCCATGATCATGAAAAGAATTAACCCAAGGAATGATTTCACAGGATCATTAGTCAGAAGGCTTGTTACTTCAATATTTATATTGAAGGGCAAACAGGGCATGGATCAGAGACAAGTTGGTTAGTGAGAACACTGTTCACCAGAATTGTGAACATTGTCATGACAATTACATCATGTATAGTTTTTGGATCGGTGACCATTGAGTGTGTGGCCTTAAGCAGGATGGATTGACCTTAGTTTGAGACCCAAGGCTCAGATGCTATACATTGACGACAAACAATTTGCCTAAAGTTTGCTTTTCATAATTGTATTGTAATTAATGTGAATATATATCATGTCTACTCCGCAAACGATTTTTGCAAAGTGAATGAACATTCCTTTTCCATTTTCTATGTTTTGGGGTTTTTTTTTAATATTTAAAAAAATGTTCATTCATATTTTTGTATCGGATAATGTTTTAAAAGTAGCTGTCAACCATTTTTTACCTTTTCGTGGAATTAGTTTAAATTCATGAGAAATGAGTTTATTTTCCACCCCACACTTAAAAAGAACAGTATGTTTTCAAGTTTTGTGTACCTTGCTTGCCTTTTTCTTTTGAATCAGTCTCATCAATGTTTCCATTGTATTTTACCTCAGGGAACCATCGCTATTCCTCAAGGAGCTCTGTTGATTCGCAATGAAAGTGGCCATCTTGTCATAGTGTCAGCTCCCCAATCTGTCATTCAGCAGACCCCAAGCAGCAATAGTGTTATCACTACCATCGCCCCAAGCAACTACAGGGTACAAAATGTTAGGGTGAGTAAGGGTGCATTTTAAATATTCATTATATCAGTTATCAACAAAGGGTTTTGTTAGCCTAAGGCCTAAGGTCTAAGGTCAATTGTGTGCCTGTTTGTGTTCAAGCATATTCAGGGGGTGGGGGTGGGGTGGAGTTTGCTGTGGTGTTTCCCACTTCAAAATGGTAATTTTTATGGTAGGTGGATCAAGCCTTATGTGGGTGATGATGTTCGTGTGCCTTTTGCATGTTTACACGTGACAGTATAAAGTTAAAAAAGAGGCAGGCATACAGAGGCCAAAGTCGGCTGCTGATACACTATTCTAAATTAAGCCCGATCCTAATCTAGAAATTCTGGGCTGGACAAAAATGAATGAGTTCCATCGAACTGTTGGTAATTGCTAGATTTTTTTCTTCTTCCTCTCAGATATCACTCGGGAGCTTTCAGTTGTTTGAAATTTATTTCATGTTTTTCGAGTAATTGTCATAGTCTCACTTATGTTCAAATTGACTTCATAGCTACTACCTGCAGAGGTTTGGAGTTTTAAAGTACAATTGTTGTGAACATGACTATGAATCCATCTAAAAAGCCATAAAAACCAGAAAACTGCAAAGTTACCCTCTTCTCTCAGCCACTGGCCACACCAGCCCCAGTGCGGACAGTTGGCAGTGGGCAAACCATCGTCACCATCCAACCTCAGGGGGCTCCCCAGCATCAGCCGTCGCAGCAAGTGCGTGGACCAGCCATCTCCACTGTGGTGCAAGCCACCAGCCTTCCTCGGCCCCCAAGACCCACCATGTCTGTTGTGGGGCAACCCGCTCAGGCTGTTGGTCAACCTGCACCGTCCACCCCTGCTGGAGGCTCTGTGGCAGCGCCTTTGGAAATGAGTAGGATTTTCATTTTCATACTTTTTTTTTCCTAGATGATTCTGTGTGTGTACGTGTGTAGTAATGCATACTTGTAGTGTCTTCTGGGGTTACAACCGTCATGAATGGCGAGCATTATCTTGCTAGTGTACGGGAAAAAAAGATTATTTACTCTATGAACTGCGTTCTTAGTGAAAACTGACAAATCTGTTTGTATGTCTTATCTCAGGTTTGCAACATGTGTTTTTTTTTTCATTCACTTTAAGAAAGTGATTCATTATCAAACAGTACTTTTTACCTGTCTGCTCAGTACAATTTTGTTAAGCAACTCAGTAGTTAGCATGGGTATTCCTTTAAATTTGCATATATGTTTATAAAAAGCCTGTTTTAGTGTTTAGATCTAAATCTTATCATGATATGGACAGTTACCTTTGGCACTGGTGCGTGATGCTTTTTGTCACGCAATGGCTTGAAAAGTGCTAAAAATATTGTAAAACTCCCGTGCAGCTTTAAATATATAATCTTTGTATTGCTGTCTTAATCTTTTTTCTGGATAGTTTGTTTAATGTTTTGCTGTTACAAGTAGCAAGACAAACAGTACTGATTTTTTTTTTTTTACTTTTCAGACAAGGCGATGATGGAAAATGTTAAAAAGTGCAAAAACTTTTTATCAACTCTTATCAAGCTTGCCTACAGTCAACCAGAGGACACAGTCCGTAATGTCCAAGCGCTCATACAAGGACTCATTGTAAGTACAACAAAGTCTAAAATATGCCTTTTTTTTTTTTTTGCCATTAGAATCTGTGACCCAGATTTAGAATGGTTTTGTCGTATTACAATATAGTGGATTGAGAAGGGTCAAAGGTCTTGCACTAAAAAATTACTCTTAAGGGGGTACAGCTTTTCTATAATATTTAGAACTTCAAAGACTTCCGTTTTTAGTTATACTCTGGTGTTTGAAGAGGTACAAAATCTTGATAAGTGACACCAGTAGTTTTGTTTAGAAAACAAAATGAGAATCACGTCCCAAATGTAACAATGCGAGACCAAAACAGTAATCATTTTAAAATATAAATAAAAAAAATGAATAAGGTATAATCCCCCCTTAAAAGGTGACTTTAAGTGTCTCTTATTGCAGTTGTAAGTAAAATGAATTTGGAAAATGTCATGAAAGTGGGCAGGTTAGAGTCATTCCACTCCGTTCAAAAACCAAAAGCATATATTTTGTGAAATAGCTTTTTTAATTTACTTTCAGAAAACGTTACAACAGTTTGACAAATATTTGATCTGTAGTGATATTTTATGGTTGGCCGAGAATATCTCAAGTACTCGTTATCCTGCATCAGGTTGTAAATGTGACAATAAGGTTCTGAAACCATAAAAGGTATACATTTGGTGAAGAAGAAAAACTTTCAGACCAAAAGAAAAATGGCTGTTAGCGCTTTTGAATACTGTTGCTAATTCAATATATGCTTCCAAAAATGTATGGTTATGAGGGTGTCATGTACTGTTGAAGCCTTTTCTAAGCTCTATGAAAATAGACAAAACCCACCTGGATTTTTTTCCACAACATTTTGTAAACAACATTTTTCAAAGGATTTTTTCAATATTTAGTGTAGGGTATTTTAGGGGGATTATAATTATTTCCCCTCTTCTGGAAGTTCAGTGCTTGCTTCAGCCAATTGAATTATTGAGGCATCATAGTATGATTTTTATATAGTCATTGGTTTAGGCCAATGGATGTTCAAGTTTCCTTAAAACATGCTAAATAAAACTGCTGTAAATCTGTCACTCCTGAGAATCTCCTTAGAGATTGGTTGATATCAGATGGTTTTGGGGTGTTATAACGTTTAGAAATGATCAATTTATATAGAGAAAATAAACTTACTGTTGAAAAGTCATCCCAAAATATGCAGGGCATGGTAATTGGATACAAACCTGAACAATCAAAATTTTTTACCTGCATTTATGCTAAATATGTAATTGGTCCATTATTGTCGTTTTACCTAGTCACTTTCAGGGAATCACATTCACTACCTTTGAATTTGGGTGATGTGTAAGACTAAAAGCAATAGATGTAATATTCAAAGCTAGAATGCAAATTTGTTCTCTGAAAAATTCTTAGTAATCTTTCTCTTCTGAAAGTGGTACTGTGATGGGTCCAGTTTCAGTTGAATGTTTGTGTTTTTCAGGATGGCAGGGTGGAACCAGAAGTATTCACAGAAAGACTTCAACATGAGCTGCAGTCATCACCACAGCCATATCTTGTCCCGTTCCTCAAGGTAATACATTTGGTTGCATTACCATGGCCATTTGCTTGCTGCCTGCAATACACTACTCTTTTAGCATTTCATTTTTGTAGACATTGCTTTCAATTAGACATTTACCCCTCCCTACTTCTTTCTTTTTCTCCTCTTTTTTTTCTTCCCCCCCCCCCCCCCCAAAAGTTTGTTGGTGGTAAAACACTTTGATTTAAGCAACTGACAAAGACTCTGATGTAGTAGTACTAGCATCAGTCCTGTAATGTTTCTTAGTATTTAGTTTCTTTTTAATTGAAACAATTGTGTTGCATCGTGGGGAAATTAGGCACTTGTCAGAATTGTGAAATCGAGAAAACAGACATTTTTCCGCCCACTGGACAATTTTTATCAATTTTAAGGGGGCTCAATACCTTTATGCCCTTTTAAAAGTACATTTCTGTGTGGATTTTACGGAAGAACGTTAATCAATGACACAAAGAATGTAAATTTGCAGTTTCCAAGGACTCTTGAGCTGTGGAAGTTACCATACTTTGACAGCCGTTTTCTTGCTAATTGTACCCGACACCAGGCGACGCCCACCTCCTTCTATCATAAATATCTCCACTTTTATTAAAAATAGATGGGTACCTCTTTCATCAAAAGCAGGACCAATCAACAAAAAAACCTACGAGTGCTTGATTCCACCGTGTCGTGACTCAATTAAATTTTTTCTGTTGGAATTACGGAGTAGTAGACACATTGTAAGTTAGTTCAAAAGTAAATGTATTGAGTTGCTTGTATTTTTGTTTTGTTCATTTGTATTTGTTGAGTTTTTTAAAATTGTTTTTCCCCCTTTTTTCTGTTTCTTTTTATATTTTTTAATCTGTTTGAATTATTTATAAATACAAGTGAAAATTACTTTTCAGTATAATTTTATTTTTCAGTTAATATTTTTTTGTTTTGATTTTTTTTAGAGCTGTGCTCTGAAACCTCTCCTGGTAAATTGACTGACGGTTTTAGGTGTTGTTTGACGTGTTTGTTCCAAATCACAACGTAGCTTCAGTAGTCCATGAGAGATTGTTTTATCCTGTTGCTAAAAGAGATTTGACGTTCATGTTTTTCTTGTGTATGAGGAGACTACCTTTGGACTTTAACGTGGCAAAAAGCTTTGGACCAACCATTTTGTTTGAAACAAAAAAACGAAAAGTAGCTAGTCTTGCACTAGTGTTACGTTTTCAACTTTTTTCTAGCAGTGTTTTGTCATTCATTGTTTTGTTTTTTTCTAGTCTAATTAGTTTAGTCTCAATTACCTGTATGTGGAGGGGTGGAAAGAAAAAGGGTGATACTACTGCATTTGAGTCTGTGCCATTGTGCTTCTTCATATTTTCAAAATGCTGTTTTTAAGACTGTAGCTGTTCTCAGAATTCACGTAGTCCGTGTTCACCTGGTTTTTTGTTTCTGCTTCTTCCTATTTGCCGTGTTTATCAGTAGGGGAACATGTTAAAACACAAATCAAAAGTTTCTTCTGTCAGCTTTTCATTGGAAGTGCTTTTCCTTGTTGTCAACGCTTGTCACTCAAGTCTGTTAAATTCTTTCCACTTGTCCAATGTAAGTGGACTTCATCTACTTGCAGTGTAACGCAATAAGAATTTTTAAAAACCACGACTTTGTTTTTTTAAGAAGTTACACTGATGAACGGGGGGTGGGTATGTTTTCCTCTTGCCACTGGAAGTTTTTGCTTTTACACATTTCCAATGTTTGCTTCGTACCTAAAATGTTAAATTGAAAGTGCCACACTCCTTGTATTAATATTGCTTGTTCTTTGTCAAATCAGACATGTTTTTTGAACATCTGGGAGATGGTCCCCCGCTTGGTTTTATGTCTCCATTGTTCTTAGACTTGGGGGGGGGTGCATTTGCTAACAAAAAGTGTGGTGAGCACAGTTGCGGAATTTGCAAAATTTTGCTACTTGAATAAAGCAAACTTGACTTTTCAAGAGTGCTATGTGCTACTTTTATTAATGAAAGATATTATAAAATGAAAATTATGTTAGTAGTTCTGGATTTGCTAGTGTTTAATGAGAGACGGAACTTTTAGGACTTACTAGTTTAATTTACGGGTGTGCGTTAGAATTAGAGTGGCTGGTTCGTGTTAATGCTTCTTAAAGCTGGTTTGGTGAAAGGTGATTCTTGTTATCATTTTTTAGTTAGTTATTACTTAGAAGAAAGTACACTCATTATTGGTGCTGTGTTTTGGGGTTTGATTTTAAGATTTAGTTTGTCCAATTCTTAGCATAGGTGTCACTGACTTGGTTCAGTTCAACCTTTGAATATTGATCAAATGGTTTTTTTCACTGTCTTCGTACATACAAATACTGGAGTTTTCCTCTGTTGATGAAAATTTGATGTTGTGCAAAGGACTTTGCTATATTGTACCTCACATCGCCTTGCAGAGAGACTTCTCTTCTGTCCCATAATTGTATAAGAGACTAGCCTGTATGAAGATTTTTTAAAATGTTACATGTCAACGCTGTCTGTTGCACACCGTTAGAAAATATGCACAACAAGAGCTGTTCCTAAGAAAAGAGTCATCAGTCATGTTTCGCACAAGTGTTTATTTTCAGGTCATTGTATGATTGTTAATTTGTGTACAGGCTAATGGTGGTCTCGCTTTTTATTATGTAATCTTTAAAAGAAATTTGTAGTTCGCATTAACTTGTGTTGTTTCACACGACGAGTTTACTATTCAGTATTTGACATATATATATATATATCAGTTTATTGACTTCTCATTTTTTGCAGTGCTTGTACTGGTTCTGAACTGTGTTATTGTAAGCATTGCAGAGTCTGTCTTAAAGGAATTGTATATGGGCTTTGTTCCCAGAAAGGGTTTAATCCTTTTGAAGCATTTCCTATGTGTGTGAAGTTTTATTATTAAAGAATTGCTCAACTTGTCCTCCACCCTCACCCAAGTAGTACTTGAAACACAATATTTTCATCTTACCTGTGAATAAACCAGGCTCTAGTCTCACAGTCTTAAAGTTTCCGTAACAAAATCAGTTAGTCCTCACGAGGATTGTTTTCAAGTCGTTTGTAATATTGTCTTTGCCGTGTTTGTCTTCAGAAAAGCCTTCCATTACTGCGTCAGTCTATGCTGATGGGTCGCATGTCTATAGAGGGTGTGCGACCCCCTCCCACGCAGACTGTGTCGCAGCCACCAACAACCACTTCGTCACAACCTGTGGTGACCACCCAAGCGGTGGTGACTCAGCAGGTCATCACGGCAGCAGGCACCCTCACCACCAGGCCCATCGTAGCTCCGGTAGTGCAGCCGCAACAGCAGCAGCAGGTGCGTGTAAGTTGCGTTTTCCTCCGTTATCCCTCTGAAAACAAATTGGATAGTGTTGTGCTGTAAATAGAGCTGTACCCCCGGTAGCAAACCTGATCGTCCTCGCAAGCCCCAAGTTCAAGTCACAAGCCTCTAATCACTAGGTCAAATCATCAAATCAAATCGCCCGCATGTTACACTTGAGTCTAGCCTAAGCTTCAAGTCAGTCCACAACACTACTAGTACATTGTACCTGCAATCCGCAAAGCCAATCGTGTCAGACCCCCTCATCCTCCGCACACCCTGCTTGCAATCCGCAAAGCTACCCACGTCAGAAAGAGAGAGAGGGGCTTGCTCACAGCGCGGCAGGCAAGTCTGAAGTCCCGCTCGCAGCCAGCACAGCAAGCTGCTCGTGCCTAATAACTTGCTTTGTTTCCCATGACTTGCTCGCTGCCTGCAAGCCGTCTGTACCCCATGACTTGCTTTGCATCCCATATCTTGCTTTGCCAGCAGCGTGGAGGAAGGGAGAGGCTGTGCTTGTTTTGGTGCAAGACGTAGAGAGCCAAAGCTATATTTAACTTCCCACCCTTGATCAGCTGAGTGAGTGGATGTAGTGACGAGATAAGAAGGGTGGTATTGTAGTAATAAGTAGGCTTAGATTGTCTTAGAATGGAAAACGTGGGTCGTTGTGATTGGCTTTTGTATCGTATTTATATAGCCTATTTTGTAGATGTTTTACACTCACAATGACACAATATAGAACATTTAGGAGAAGGGCTAGGCCTACTTCAACCCATGTCCGGGCCAACCTGGGCTGAGAGAGAACAACGCCCCAGCAGAAAGACGAAGGTTCTCAGTAAAAATTTCTCCCCATATGGGAATGGAACTGACGTCTTTTGTTGCGTGCGGCACAAAGCGCTTGACCCATGTGCATTTAAAAAAACAAACTGGCCTTTGTATAATAAGAATAGCCAATCCATTCTTAATTTTTAAGTGCATTGAATAGAGCTTTTTTTTTTTACAACTTGACTATGAAAAAAAACAACCTTGCCCTTTTGGTGCAAGCATCTCAACGCAAATAACCAGAATCTTCTGTAATATGTACTGAGCCCACAGCCACGAGAGTTCGCGACGTCACAGCACAGTACAGCAAGCCTGTCTGCGAGTCACGACACACCGGAAGTTCCCCCTAGTAGCGAGCGGCAGACAAAGCAAAACACATACCTGTTGCCAAGCCTCTCGCAAGCCTTCGGTTAATCGAATGGACTCAGGCTCTAGCTCTAACTACACATGAATTTCACACAAAATACTTGTAACATGAAAGGATTTCAGATACTTAAAAATTGATTTCCAGTAAAAAAACAACCCCGAAACTGGCACTAATGTTGTTGTTGTTTTTTTATGTCATTTTGAGTATAGAAATCAGTATTTATAATTAGCTTAACTCCTTGAATCCGGCTCTCTACTGAAGTGAGATTTTGGGGTTTCACAGGTTTGCCGCTTAAATGACATTTTGGGGGATTCCAATTTCGTGAACTCTTAGGTCTAAACCTGATCTATTGTTACATTTACTACCTATTTTCATTCGTCCAATGCAAATAATTTGAGTGCTAAAACGTACAAATCCATCACTATTTGACTGAATTTGAGTGATTTTAAGGTTACATCTTTTGCCGCTGGATGAATGAAATATTTGAATCCTATGCGCGCAGAAAGAGTAAAAAATTGCCTACTTGGTATTTTGTCCGTGTCCATAAAGGTAAAACGTTTTCTTTTCCAGCCAAAGATGCGACCAAGCCCAGGACCTGCCAGCAGTAAGGTGGCAGCCATTCGTCAGTCTGTTCCCCAGGTGGCCATAACTTCTGGTGGCAACAAAATGGTGGTCCATGCAGCACCTCAAGGCCCACGACTCCCCCAGCCTGTGTCCCAAGTCCAGCGCCCCCCCCAGCCCCAGCGTCTGCCTCAGCCCCAACGTCTACCGCAGCCCCAACGTCTACCGCAGCCCCAGCGTTTACCACAGCCCCAACGTCTACCACAGCCCCAGCGTTTACCGCAGCCCGTATCACATGGTCAGCTTCAACCCGTCCGGCCCAAGATGGCTAGCCCTCGACCATCTGCACCGGTCGTGCGAGCCCAGAGACCCGTCATTGCTCCGACAGCCGTGGTCAAGCAAGAACCTTCTAGTCCAGCGCCTGGCCACAGAGAAAAGAGGAAATTTGAATCCTTGAAGTGAGTTGGACACAGATTGTTCTAAAATGGTGGCTCGAATTTTTAATATGCATTTACGTTTTTGCTTCGTATGTTTTGGAAAAAGACGTGTAGTGGTTGATCAGTACTTAAAGCCATTTTTGTGCTTTAGTTTATGAAGTTAGTATAGGACGAAAAAGCTAAAGACAAATTCTGGTTAAAGCTGAGCCTTGCAAATAAATACCTGACATATTCATGTCCATGTCCTTCCCGAATTACTTCATTAAAATAAACACTTGATTAAATATTGCACTAATGCACAGTTTTAGTGTATTTACTCTTTGTTGTAAATAGTTCTTCATTTCATGACTTTGTTTTCAAAATTCAGGGACTTTTTTTTTTCCCCCCCAGGGATGGTGATGACGATATCAATGATGTTGCAACTATGGGAGGTGTGAACCTATCAGAGGAATCAAAAAATATCCTTGCAACTACCAATGCAGACTCCATAGGTGCCCAGTTGAGGTCTTGTAAAGATGAAGTTTTCCTTGCTGCCTCACCTCTTCTCAGGAAAATCACTGCTATAGGTTTGTGTCCAATCTTTCGTTCTCTGTCTAATTGTACAGTGCAGTTGAAAAATGGATGCGCAGTAAAAAAAAAAATGACACTTGTTTTTTGGGGGTTTAAAAAAAATATTTTTTTTAAAGATCTGTTTTTCTATCAAACATCTATCGTCTTTATCCCCCCTGCTTTTTCATGTTTGTTATTCTCTTGTAATACCTCCAATCTTCGGCACTTGTATATGACCTTATTGTGTTGCAAGTGCTGTAAAACTCTTACTAAAACTAAAAAAACTTGAAAGCATTGCTAAGCTCAACTTTTCCTTCATTACAAATTAGCAATGCCAATTTTGAGTACACAAAATTGATGCAGCCCAGAAGAGCCTAAAATAACCGGGTCTGTTCACGAAATGCTGCTATTGTCACTGACAAAATGAATTGTACTGTGTTATTTATCACATGATCAGCCAGCTTGTCATTCAGCTTTCTGTTTACTTAAAAAAATGTTTTGGGTTGAACCAGTGTCCATATAAGTTTTCGACATGTAAAGACAATTTGAAATCAGAAGAGTTGGAAATATGTGAATGGCCCATGCACTTCTGCATGCCTTTTCTTCGTTCAGTAGGGAGATCCAGTGGCACATTGCCACTTCTTGAGTCAAATTTTGCGAGCAAGTGAATGCAGACATTAATTTGCTTGATTGTTATTCAATTTTATGATTAAAGTTCCAAACGACTAGGATTGAGTACAGTGCCTTCAGGTTTGTGATGGTGCCCTTTTTTTTTCTCTTCAGCTAAAAAGTATGGTGTGGAAGAAGTCAACCCTGCTGTTGTGAGTCTAATTTCCCATGCAACACAGGAAAGGTTGAGAGACTTTGCCTCAAAGTTATCGATCATTGCTGAACACCGAGTAGAAATTTACAAGGTATGTTGGAGAGATGTGAAGTAGAGTAACTAGAATGTGTACTGGTACTATTGATTTTGATCTGTCAGACATTTTTTTTTTACAGCCTTTCTTTTTAAAAAAAACAACGCTTGTTTAATCTTTGAAATGAGCCAACCATTTTGTGAAAATATTGAGGGTTAAGAAAAACCAGTTGCAATCTGTGTTCCAGAAAGCATTAAAACCTTTAAGAGCTTGTCTCCTTACACGCGATGTGGCGGCTAATCGCACGCTACCGTCACCTGCGATTGGTCCATATAGCGACAGAGGGTCTCGTACAACAGACTGGGGGTGTGACAGGTTTAGAGCGTCACCATTGGTCAAAATACCTAGCCAAGGGATGCTAGTCGACACGCTGTGTCTGTGTGTGTGATGTTCATCTTCATCAGTTCGACCCAATGCTAATTTTGTTGTTTTGTTTTTTTAACGGACAGTAGGAGGAGAAGGAGGTGGAGGAAGAGGAGGAAAAAGAGATGGAGGAGGAGGACTTACACAGGATTGGCCATGTACGGAATAAAAAATGTCAGCGGCTCGTAGAACTCCCATCTGGCGGGCTTTATGCTTCCTTGTCCATCTTGACATTAAAATTTGCCACTGTCTCTCCTCTGTGAATTGCCAGTCGCGCGCGTCTTATAAAACATCAGGCTGCGCTTAAGGAGACAGTTTTGTCAGGTGGACTGAAAATTTTGGCTCGATGTGGTCGTGCACAAGGATACACACCTCGCAACTCATCACTCGTGACTGTCGTGCGCAACTTACCGTCGCGTCGCGCATACAGAGACATAGGCTAATGGAGAGTTTTGTTTGTGGAAAGATTTTCAGTTTTGGAACACCATTTACAATTAAAAGTTGCCCATTAAGTCAGTCTGTGCAGCACCATGTTGAATAGTATTTTGGTTAGTTAGGAGCTTTAGTCTGTCGGCTGCTGTCCTACCTTTGTTGGCTTACTTGGCAAATGTTTGAGGTTTGAATTTTTTTGGTGGAGTCCTGGCTTTTCTTGTTCTTCGATTTACACACACACACACACACACTTTCTCTCTCTCTCTCTCTCTCTCTCTCTCTCTCTCTCTCTCTCTCTCTCTCTCCCTCTCTCCCTCTCTCCCTCTCTCTGTGTGTGTGCGTGCACTAGGGAGAGAGAGAGAGAGAGAGAGAATTGCTCTGCAAAGATTGACCTAACTTGTGCCTAGTTTTGGGAGTAGGGCATTGAACTTACCTGTAGCTGTGTTCAATTTTAGTGGCATCTCTGAAAGGTTCATGAGTCAAGTAAGTGATTGATATCGAGTTCATGGCGTTTTTTTGCAATATTTAGAGATGGTTCTGCTTTTCAACTAATCACTCAAAGGTTTCTCGAACTAGCTTGAAGTGTGATACTGGGATTAGGGGATTCTGTTGTCATTTGTCTCTTAACCCCCATCTCTTTTTTTCCCCCTCGTGTTTGATATGCATATGATTTTTTACAGATGGACTCAAGATATGAAGTGGAATCTGAAACCAAACAGAAGCTTAAGTTTCTGGAAGAGCTAGACAAGTTGGAAAAGAAGCGTCATGAGGAACATCAAAGGGAAATCTTACTGAGGGCCATCAAGGTTAGTGTGCAGCTTTAGTGCCACTTGTATTTTACTGTCTTAATAATATCTAATTTAGCCTTATGAATCAGTTCCTGAACTTTCTAATTAAAGTTTTTGAGCTAGATGCTTGGAAGACCTCCATCCTGTCTTTTTTTCTTTCAAAATTGTTTCTGCTTTAGTGGAGCACTCCCTGTAACTTCTTTCCACGCAACTACCTTCTTTTTCAGGTTTTTTAAGGAAAGGGCCTGTTCTATCTGTAAAAATATTTGCTGAGACTTTTATTTTAAGAGTTCATTTCCATTTGATCCTCCATTATATTTTCAGCTTTAGGGTACTTGTCTCGATAAATCTAAGAAAGAAACAGCGTTGCTTTTTTTTGTATTGTTTTGTCTTTGTTTCCATTGATGAAGTTTTGACTTGCGTGAAGATGTTGTGCTTCCTTCCTGTACAGAGAGATTGTTTCATGTTGTTCGTTTTTTTGTGTGTTTCTGCAGAGTCGGTCAAAGAATGAGGATCCAGAGCAACTGAAGCTCAAGCAGAAAGCGAAAGAGGTAATTTCCTGCTGTTAAGCCAGGTCCCATAAATGTCCAGCTCGTGGTCGCGTTACAGATACAAGGGTGCTGGAATCCCTATCATTTCTCACATATATGGGGAGAAGCTGTAATTGTGAAAGGGTTCTGGGTCTTACGTACACCTTTAGTAACACCTCATTAGCTGCAGAGCAAGATTGGCATTGGGTTACTGCAGCTCTTTGTCTTGGATTTGATATAGATCTAAAGTCCCCTGTGGTATCCTCTAGAAATATTGGGGAGGAAATGTGATGCAAATAGTATTTTTCTGTTTTGGTGCACAATTGCAAATTAAGCTTTTGGATACGGGAAATTATTTACTTGTATTTTATAATGATTATTTTAAAAAATACTTATTTTAAAATGCTCGACAGCTCCAACAAGCGGAAGCAGAAGAATTGCGACAGAAAGAGGCAAACCTCACAGCTTTGGCTGCCATAGGACCTCGAAAGAAGAGGAAGCTGGACTTGTCAGACTCTGGAGTGTCAGGGGTGAGCAAACTCATTTGTCTACCTGTGTCATTAACTCATTGATCTTCTGAATGAGTATTTTTGCAAGACTGGTCCTTGCCCACTTGCGATCGAGTATTTTTGCATTTTGCCCCTTTGTTGTGGAAGAAAAATAACTGTCCAGTTGTCAATGCCAAGTCACTAGGTCGAGTCATTATGCAGTACGGGACTGGCCATGGAGACATTATTCTCATGAACAGCCTTTGAGCCCGCGGTCTTTGATTTTGTGAAATTTGTGTGTCATCTTTTTGTTGGTGAAGTGTTGCACCTTGATTTTTTAAAGTATTGCAACTCACAAGAGATATTTACATTTTTGGTCGTGAAGCAATCAATATTGGCCTTGATTCTAACCTAGTTAGAGGATTGTAGTGATACTAGTTCAGTTACAACCTGTTCCCTTTTGTCTGACGGCATTACAACAGGATTAAATCAAATCGATCTGTTTCATCTTCTCTGATCTTTGCATACAGGTCTAAAACACCAACAGAATTTAAAAGCCCATTGATAAAGGTCATTGCAAACTAATGTTTCGACACATTTTTCTTTCATGTTGTCCTATCGTTGGTAAATTTTTTTTGCTGCTTTTTTTTTTAGGGCATTTTCAGAATGTGATATTTTGGCCTGTTAGGTCAAAGGACATTTATTTCTTATCCTTGACGTATTGGGGTTTTTGTTTTTGGTTAATTTTAAACTGTGATCAACATAGCTTCAATGTGTTTTCTTTAATTATTTTAACTGAACTCATAGACTGCCAAATGTTTATAGGAAAGGGGAAAAGTTAGAGAGCAAGGCGACGTTATGAGCGCTTTTATAATAATGTTGGTTAAGAATACAGACAGGTGACAAAGCCATTTGATTGTGGAGACCCAAATATTGAATATATTGTTTATTGCTGTTGTTTGTTTGTTTTCAGTCGAGTTCCACCAGTAACACACTCTCCTCGAATCTGAATTCATCAAGACCAGCTGTGAGTATTTCGTCGAGAAATTTTAACCGACAAAGAAATTTAGATTACATTATGCCATGTGCAGGGAATGTTTTCAACACTTTGGGTGGTTAGTGGGTGTTCTTGTATTATTTGCTCCTTCTTTCCTATGAGACATGTGCCGTCCTCATCTCTTCTCATTTTGTTTCTATTTTACACTCTAGTCTCACATCTTATCTTTGGCACTTATATGACCTGTGCTGCAAGTGCCATAAAATTTTAGTTAAACTAAAATTAAAAATTGTTCAACCTTTACGTCTGAAATGTCTTGGAAGGGTTGATAATTTTTATTTCAAAAGAAGTAAAGAATGAAGACATTTTCCTGTGTGGGTTTTAAAATTTTTTAATAATATGATAATAGTATAGGAGTCTTCCCGGTTATGGCTGGATGATGTTGTTATGATTAAGAAAACAATTAGTGCAATCTGTCAATGTCATGTGCCCTTTTGTTGAGGAAACATACGTTTTGTGCGGAAAAATTTGAGTTCCTGCTCAGAATGTGTGGAAGAGACAAGTGTTTTGATAGCTGAAGGTGTCTCCTTGTGCAGACTCTAGTTTATATCACTTCAGACGGTGTGTGTCTAGAATATGTTCGACAGTGCCTTTTAGGTTTGCTTGACTTGTTATTGCTGTGCTGAGGTAATAATGATTTTTGTTTTTGAATTTCTTGAAAACATATTTTATCTGTGGGTGGTTGGCGGGTGCTGTAGTGTGGTTTGCTTCTTCTTTCCTATCAAACGTCTGTCGTCCTTATCTCCTTTCCTTCTTTTTTATGTTTGTTACTCTCTTGTGACACCTCTAATCTTCTGGTGCTCATTTTACCTCATTCAGTTGCGAGCGCTGTTAAACCTCTACTAAAACTTTAAAAAACTAACATTTTGTGTCTTCGGTTTTCAGGTGATGCGTCCTAGGATTAAGAGAGTGAACATGAGAGACGTGCAGTTTTTATTGGAAAACGAGAAAGCAACGAGGAAGTCAGAACTTTTATACAAAACATTCCTGAAGTGAGATGTGTGAAATTAGTGCAATGCTTTTCTTGATGTGAATGGATGGATTCTGTTTTGCTGACAGAGAACACAAACACAAGTTGTTGTATAATGAAATGAATTTTTGCCAACGGGGCAAGTGGAATATTGTTTTGCTGTTGAGCGTTAGAAGAATCTGTTGACCAATAGCTTTGTATGAAATATACATGTGGGAGGTTTTTTAGGTGTGATTGCTGTCGCCATCTAGTGTGCACCGTCTGTGTTTGTAAGAGCTCCAGAAATGTGATTGAAGAATGCTCCCACAATGTTGTGTGGAAGATGAGAATAAATGGTTACAGTATGATTCTCTGTGTTTTCACTCGCTTGTGTGTGTGCATGTTTATGAGCATATTGAATGGTTTCCTTACAGCTGTTTCTCATATGCTTTTCATTGACTGATTGGAGTATAGTTTTTAGAGGTCATGAAGTACATATATTTATGAATGCTTACTGGGTACTTTTGTGAACTGAGTCCTGATTTCTTGAAATCTGAATCTTCTTTACTTATCTTGGTGAAAGGATGTTAGATGATGGGAGCGATGTGACCCTTATGCTGGTTGAAGTGGCCCCTGTTTTTTATAAGGACAGTGGAATTTGCTAGTTGATGAATGCTTTTTGTCTTATTTGATCTCAAAATTTGTAACTTGTACACCAAACCAAACCTTGCCCAAATGTAGTTCAAATGAAATTGTTGTCTTCAGTGTTATGAAGTTAAATAATCAAATTGTTTTAAAGTTTCAAAATAAGCTTTGGTTCTTGTAGTGTAAGTGACCATATTATGTGTCCACTGGGGGTGGGGGGTCTAATGTATTCTGATGGGCATCTGGTCACAACAGTTTGGAATATGGAACTGGGTTTGAATTGAAAGTGTCAACTGTAGAAATCAACTATTTAATGCTAGCCAATACTTGTTCTTCACCAGTATTTTACCGAGAAATTTGGAAAGAGGGACATTTTTTTGTAACCATCGTGACTCCAAAAATATTGGAAAGTAAAAGAATATTGTTTAAGAGCTAAGCAAATTGTGGGTCTTTTTCGCAGTTTTAAAAAAGAATACTTTCTTGGTGTGTGTGTGGGGGGGGGGGGGGGGGGGGGGGGGGATAAACTTGATGATAAATGTTTCTCTTTTTTTTAAAAACAAAAAGTTCTTGAATGTTCCCAATGACATATGCAGTGCTCAGATTCTGTGTTTGACATTTTTGCAGATTTGATTGAATAATAAACATGGTCAGTATATATGTTGTTTGCTGTCTTAAACCAAAGACATAATTCAAAAGGTGCGAAGTGTGGGTACAGCTTTACTTTGGACTCCTTTGCCTAAATTAAATGTCGGGACCATTAAAAAGCCAGGGGGGAAAAATAGCTGGATCATGTTTTGGTAAATTTTAGATATTTTAGTTTTACATTTTGGAACTTCATGTCTTCCAAGGGATATCAAATTTTCTGCCTCTATTTTTACAGTTTTTCATCTTTGAAAATGTTGCGGTTTTTTAAAGCCAAAGTATTGAATAATTTGGAATTATGAAGCCCTCTGAGGCATTCCTCAATAAGTAAATGTGACTGCCGTTTGTTTTTCCCCATAAAGTCTTTAAATGTTTATTTTACAACTCACTGAACCCTGATCTTGAACTGCATTGGGATCATATAAAGTACAACTATAGAACAAGCATCCAATGATTATGTACAGATCAATAAGTAAACTACAGTTAGTACAGAAAACCTCTGGAAAAATTTGATCCATAGGTAATACTGATACTGAGGTGAATGACAGATATTAGGAATGGTATCCTGGTATCTATCTCCTCTTAAATCAATCTCCATGATCTGATCATTTCCTGAAAATGGAAATCAAGGAGTTGCATGAAGATCATGGAGGTTAAAAGTTGCACCAAAAAAATGAAATTTGGCTTCTGCAAAAGATTTTGGACAGGTTTATACCGATCCCATACTTGAATTCATTTTCGCGAAAGACTCATGATGATAGCTTGAAAACAATTAGTAGGTTCATTGCACTGAACACTTACGTCTGCGTTCAAACGGCGCCCCAAATAGATTGTAAGTGGTTTAAAGTATCCATCAATCGTGATTTCCACCTTTGTGATGGTTTAAGGTCTTCACTGTTGCGTGCCAAAGACGTGAGTTCGATTTCTATGGAGGTGGGGGTTGTTTCGTCACGTCCCCTCATCCGGCTGCTGGGATGTTGTATCCCACTCACCTTAGTGTGGGCCCTGCCAGGCAGGATAATGCAAATGGTATTTTAGGTGATCTAAATTGTTTCAATAGGGGCCTAAAAAATTTACTATCATTGCAATCGTCAGTTGGAATTCAAGGCCAGCTTTGTTCTGAAGGGAAATAATTGTTCCTTCAACATTTTAACGATGTCAGAAAATCTATCCAGTTGTGTTGACAGAACCTAATTGCTTTCAGGGCTTTTTCATTTTCTTGAAAAAAAAGAATGAAATGAATTTTTTTTTAAAGTACCCAAGATTGTGTGAGTGTGGACTAATGTCACATGGTGGGCTTGTTTGTTCCCGCAGACAGTTCTATTGTCCTGTCTTTTGTTTTTTGCTCACTTTTTTGTTTGTTCATGAAGACATCTATGCAGAAATCTTTCATTTCCCATGACTGATTGTCCTCACCATATTTAAGTTGCTGGCAGTTGTTACTGATTGTACCTAAGATGTAATATAATGATGCTTGGGTTAACATTTTGCTTTGTTTATAGCTCTCACACTATCACGCCTGTCTCTCATTCTTTAAGTCATATGCGCTGTGTGGAATCATGTGTACAGTTTCTCGTGGACGTTTTGCCCTCAGGTCATGTGGTGTAGTCTTTTGGTGCTGTAATAGCAGGCCGGAGTATAGGAAATGTTTTAGTAGAGGTTTTACGGCGCTCGCAACTGCATAAGGTCATAATATGAGCCCCAGAAGATTAGAGATGTTACAAGAGAGAAACAAACATAAAAAAGAAGAAGGGGAGATAAGGAAGATAGATGTTTGATAGGAAAGAAGGAGCAAACTACACCGGAGCACCCGCCAACCACCCACAGAAAATGTTTGGTTGAAATGTGAAATCAATGGCTTCTTATAGTTTGAACTTACCACAACTTTTTCCATTACATCCTCTCCTCAAATGTATGGCAATTCCAGGAGTTTAGAATCGTTTATCCTCAACTTTTCTTTTCCTTTCTGTTTTAAAAAGCATTTTGCAGATGCAAACAAAATAATCTTCTTAGGTGGTGGGGGCAAAATCAGTGTACTTCATTTACACCACAAAAGGTGCTATCAGCATTTTTATTTCAAACCTGTACGGGAAAACAACTGTATTGTCCATACGACTTTCACTTTGTCCTCCTCAGGCATTTCTGCTTCATGTTGTTGTGAAGTTTGTTCATGCTAGCAGACTAGCTGGATGTGGTTGGTGGGTGCTCTGATGTGGTTTGTCCTGTCAAACATTAATTGTCTTTATCTCTCCTCCTTTTTTGTGTTTGTTACTCTCTTACCTGACTACATTGTGTCACTAGTGCCGTAAAACTCTTACTAAACTAAAGCAGACTAGTTAGCTCAAGTTTGGAATTGATTACAGTGCAGTTTGAATTTTCCTAATTTTCTTAAAAGGTTTTTATTGGGGGGGGGGGGGGGGGGGGGCAAGTGTTCTACTTTCTAAATAAGCTATTCTGTCTCTAGCAGGGCATTAGTCTTCAGCAAAGACATAAAGTTTTTCAGGTATTTCTCACCTTGCCCTCTCATTTTTAAGGTCACATGTGGTCTGTCGTAGTCGTTGCAAAGTTCCTCAATTTGTCGCTTCATTTGACTTTGACATCTTCCATTATTTGCGTACATTACGCATATATCGTTTTGCCGTTTTCAAGATGTCTGTCTTCTGTGGCATACTCATGTTCCTTTTACTTGTATTTCATTCTCACATAGGGAAGTATAGAGTACAATTGTTTCGTCTTTTGATTTGAACTTGTGAAGAAAATATGAAAGAGTAATATGTCTTCATCTTCTGCCTAGAAACATTTACTGTTTTTTGCTATTCAAATCATTTTGAACTATTTTGTTCCAATTGAGTATATACTACTGCTGCCCAAATTATTGTCATTTCCTGTAAAGTTTATTTGCCTGCAGAAACTATACATGTAGTTTTCCCAGTTCTCTTGAAATATCCTTGTTTTTACCATTGTTTCAATAGTTCACAATCTGGTACACCTGGCTTGGCAATTATAGTGATTTTTTTACCCTACATGTAGTAATACTTAAGATCGTTTTATTCCTAGTTCAGCACTGTAATTGTCATTCTTAACTGTAGGTCCAATGGATATAGTCCAGTATGGCGCGTTGAATTTTATTGCTCCAGTTGGAGTGCTCAACATAAAGAGAATGGAAAAGAAAGCTCTTGACTCACACGGATGAAGGAGCGACAAATATTCGTGGGTAGTTGGCAGGTGGTCTAGTGTGGTTTGCTCCTTCTGTCCTATCAAACATCTATCGTCTTTATCTCCTTTTCTTCTTTTTTATGTTTGTTACTCTCTTGTAACTCCTCTAATCTTCTGGCGCTCATATGACCTTATGCAGTTTTGAGCGCCGTAAAACTTCTACTAAAACTAAAGACAAATATTCTGGTCGGGGGGAGCTACATTAGCCAACACAGAAGTTACACTGGAAGTTGAAGTCTGTCTGTTTTTTAAAATTTCTTACGCGTAAGGCGAACAGCGTCAGAAGGAAATATTGTGACCTGTTTCCTTAATAATTTAAAACAAGAAAGAGGACATCATTGTAACCCTGAGAACTAGTTTGTTTCTGCTCATGTCGTATGTTTAAGATTTAAAACTTTTGGTGTGATCTTTGCCCTTGTCATGGAATGGTCTATTTATTTATTTATTTATTCTTTTAAAACATTGATTCCTTTTTCTTTCTTTTTTTTAGCATTTGTGAATTATCAGCATTTAAGAATCATTGTGTTATGCAATTAACTGGGGGGAAATTGTAAATACTGTTTATTGTGCTTTGTAGTAGGAATAAGTAAAACACAGACGTGTCTGTCAGATTGAGGAGTTTTCGTTTAGATTCGCAGCTGCCTTGAAGAGCATGTTTGTTTACATTTATGCATTTGCATCCCCCCATGCATTTATTTTACTAAGAGGCAAAGCTGTTAGATATATATCAAGTATCTATAACTCCATGAAGTTTTCATGCAAACGTGTTAAAGCAATAAGAGCTTTGTGAGACGTCCTGGCTGATTATATGGACTTACCATTTCCTTTTGTTTTATTAATTAATGTTACATGCCACCAGTGGCATGGAAAGGGACAATGTGGACTCTACTGATGAAAGCAGGTGTGTTGACAGTAAGTAAAAGTTAATGTTTCATACAAATGGTCTCCATATGCCTCCAAAGACTCACTGCTCTATGGTGCATTTATTTCCAAACGACACGTTCAAGGCATTGATAGGTATTTTGGTCTGGGGCTGTCATAGTCCTAGTCTTGACAACAATTAGTGTACAAATGAACCAGAGACATGGAAAGGTCTTCTTTCCGTTTTCTTAATTTTGTCGCTTTTTAGAGGTGGTTATTGTTCATAGAGCTTGGAAGGTGATGCTTCAGCCTGTTGGTGTGGGTATTTTTGCAAGTGTACCATAAGATTAAGAAGTAAGAAAGACTGGAAGTTGTTTTATGTTGGAGATGGTGTGAGTGAAAAATTTCCTGGATAGGCGAGTGAAATGTAGTCCATGAAAAATTTGTACACAGTTGGGTTTTGTTTTCGTTTTTATGTACGGTATTGGAATATGTAACTTATCGGATCATGCAATGTATCGGATCATATTGATTTGATGTCAGGTAGACCATAATTGCCAGGGACAGGTTTCCCAAAGGTGCAAAAATGTAGAGAGGGCATGGGGAGCTGAAATAATGATAGATAGTATTTGTATAGCACAAATCCACACTCAACACCAAGCTCTATGCACTTCACAATCTATACTTTTACCCCAGCAGACCTGAGAGCATTCTGTAACAACCTCAACTTCCTGGGAAGCATATTGTGCAAGCTGCCATATAGGCGCTAAAACACAAACATACTGACAAGACCTTTCACTGTCTATAGCTGGGTACCCATTCCCACCTGGGTGAAGTGAGGAAAATTCGTGTAAAGTGTCTTTCCCAAGGACACAACGTCGGGCATGTGGTTTGAACCCCCGAGCCCGCAACCTCACGATTACGAGTCCAGTAGCCTAACCACTAGGCCACCGACGCCACAATATAATCAGCCGACACTAGCACTGTATGTTTATTTTAGATTACCACATTTGAAGGTTTGGGGGAAAAAATCCAATTTATATTTTTCCCCCGGGGGGGGGGGGGGGGGGGGGGGGGGTTGGGTACAGTTGTAGAGGTACAATGTAGGCTATTCATACAGTAATCTGAAAGTGACATCAGCAGCACATAATACACAATGCCACTGTATGGACACAGCATGTAAAGTGGGTTCTGATTTATATTTCTTGTCTTTCATTGAACATCTCCCCTCTCTGTGTCGTGACAGAGATCTCTGTGCTCTGGCTTCAGCATGTCAAACATTGTGTGAAGTAAGGCAGTGTACTAGTATAACTACAAGAGAAGGACTTAGAGTGGGACATTTTTTGGGAGGATGATAGTTGGGCTTCAAGTGCAACGATGTGATCTCCCCCTCTATCCTGTTTAGTATCGTGGTGTGTGCATAGGCTGGTTTTGTAGTTAAGTCGCAGTTCTTTTTGACCTGTCACTGTCAGCCACTAAATTTTTAAAATGATGCACATTTAGGTGTATGCGAGTTCCTGTCCTCAGTTTTGCTGTTCCAAGAGGGTCACCTCTACAATGTATTCATGTGACCAGTGATGCCTTGGTGCGGAGACAGAGCAACTCAATGAATCCACAGTCGTGTGTTTCTTCCAAACTTTGTACATGCTTCATCCCTGTGTCTTTGGCCCTTACTTTTGTTTGACATGAATTTATCTAGCCATCAAATCTGTGCTGGTGTGGTCTGGTGTGATTTGCTTCTTCTTTCCTATCAAACGTCTATCATCTTTATCTCCCCTCGTTCCTTTTTGTGTTTGTTACTCTCTTGTAACACCTCTAATCTTTGGCACTTATACGACCTTATTGTGTTGCAAGTGCCCTAAGACACTTACTAAAACAAAAAAACTAAAACAAAAATCTGTGCTGCCTTCTAATATAAACCTATTTCTTTGTTCAGCATTATAAGCTGGGTAGGAAGAAAGAAGTCCACTTGATTTGAATGTCTAGAATATAAAATCAACACTAGTAAGTTTGTTTAATTTAGTATGGTTTTGAAAGAATTTGCTGTTCCTGGCATTTGTTTGATGAGCGTGTGTGTACCTGTATGTGTGTGTGTGTGTGTATGTGGTGGCTTATGTGGAAGCTATCTACTCAGTGCTGTGTTATTGGGGCTCTAAGGTAGCAGTGCATATAGATATGTACAGACTGTTGTTGGGACCTTTTGTCATGAAGTTGTAACACTTTCATTGTGAATTGATGTACCAGTTGCCTCTCTAAGGATTGCTGTCCTTCGTGGGTTTTCATTACATTTGTATTGTTTTGTTACTTTAATTTCCTGGTTAGATGAGTGAAATGTAATCCATGAAATGATATATTTGTACATAATGAAGATAATGATGCTCATGTCATCATATGGAACAGGATACATGTATTTGTTTGATTGCATTGTATGTAAATATACCATTGATTAATCCTTATTTTCAGAACCTAGACATTTATTAAAGTATCATTTTTCCATATGAGTTTTACCCTTGTATTTAGTGTATTCTTGTTAACTCGGGGGACGGTGTGTGTTATTTGTCAGCTTCAGTGTATATATGGAAAGAAATCTGTGTAATTTCTGATGCAAAATTAATTTCTAAATCTTTTCCTTTTTGTGGGAAAAGTTGATTAATGTGGGTGGTTGGTGGGTGCTCTGGTGTGGTTTGCTTTGTTTTTTCTTTCCTATCAAACATCTATCGTCCTTATCTCCCCTTCTTCTTTTTATGTTTGTTACTCTCTTGTAACACCTCTAATCTTCTGGCGCTCAAATGACCTTATGCAGTTACGAGCGCCGTAAAACCTCTGCTAAAACTTTTTGTGGGAAAAGTTGATTAATATAGTGGCGAGCAAAAGAAAGTGGGCAGTTTTCAAATTGGTGCTGTATGAGTCGTCTCGCGAATTTTGCCTTGGCGATTGACATGCTGAGCTTGTGTCACTTAAGAAAGTCAGTCAGAACAACATTTCTTTATTTTGTTGTTATAGTGTTTACAACACGTTTGGCCAATAACGTGTTTTCTCGTTTTTTCTTGAAAGTTAACAATGCCTTTACCTTTAATCTTTTTTCATTACACACTTCAACGTGTGTCAGCGAAAAGGCCGTCAAAATATTTGGGTTTGTACTTTACAATTGTGTTTTATACGATGCCTAGTCTCAGTGTGGGCAACGTCATGAAGATCTTGGCATGCTGAGACTTGAGAGCTAATACGGCGGTCTCTGCTCTCGCTAGAGCTTTCAATGTGACGACGTACGGAAGGGTTAAGTGGTGGCACAGAGTTCCCTACGTCGTATGGATACGATAGTAAAACACGACGTACGGAAGGGTTAAGTCCCGGGAAGCTGAGCATGTTTCGGAGTGTTCTATGGTCTGCTGGGGTAATAATATAGTGTAAAGCGCATAGAGCCTGCTGTTGAGCGGGGATATGCGCTATACAAATGCTATCTATTATTATTATTATTAAGTGGTGGCACAGAGTTCCCTACGTCGTATGGATACGATAGTAAAACGCGACGTACGGACAGGGTTAAGAATGTGGAGACATCATCAACAAGAAAGAATATTGCCGCTCAAGCTTTGTAAACAGTTTTATTCTTCACGAAATGCCTGCTTTGCAGTGGATTTCTTGATAGCAGTGTGGCTGTCCATTCAGATCACAAAACACAAGTCAACAAAACAATATTTACTCAAGTTCAGATACATTAACGTTATACATTACAAAATTCAAAATTAGTGATGATTTTATTTCGGTACTCGGGCACCTCAGTCACGAGATACAGATGACTGTGGAAATACAGATCGCGACCTCAGTGCTTTCTTGTTGTATCTCCATTTTTTAACAGTGAAAATGTGACATCTTCTTATGCTCATTCTTTGTTATGAACTGTTTTCACTGTTATTAAAAATGGAGATACGACTAGAAAGGACTGGGGTCGCGAGATGAAAAAGAGTAGTAGCTCTAGTAGTAGTAGTAGTAGGCAGTGAAAAGTAAACTTGATATATTTAACGTGTACTCTGTATCCTTCAGTCACGTACCATGTTACAAGTGCATGAACTGTCAAGCAGAAAAAAACGTGGGAAAAAACACCTTCCCCATTCGAATAACTGAAGTTGCAACTATTCTCACATTTTCACCCTTGCGTTCAGTCATGTGCTTGTCTTATGTTTCAGATACAGTGAGTACAAACGTAAATGTTTTATTCAAGTGGATCATATGTGCTTCTCCGGCTCCTGTTCACTCGATTGCGACACTATGTTATAAATGAACATTGTAATACGAAACAAAATGTCGATTTTCCTCTGTTCCAGAGACGAACAAGTGGGTGGTTGGCGGATGCTCTGGTGTGGTTTGCTTCTTCTTTCCTATCAAACATCAAATCATCCTTCTCTCTCCCTCCTTCTTTTTCGTGTTTGTTACTCCCTTGTACCACCTCTAATCTTCGGTACTTATAGGACCTTATTGTTTTGCAAGTGCCGTAAAACTCTTACTAAAACTAAAAAACAAATCGTCGATTTTCCTCTGTCCCAGAGACGAATAGGCACTCGTCCCTGCGTATGGTTGGAGGGTGTCACTGGTACTGGTAGGTCCTACTTCTTTACTTTGTTTCTGTCTGTATTATTTTCCACAGCACTGACCATTATTATAAAATGCCAATGTGCTTCTCTTTACTCCAGCAAGGGGGCTCTCGTGGCCTAGAGGTTAAGGTGTTGGCCTCTCATTCAAAGGTCCCGGGTTCGAATCCGGGTAGCGACCGAAAATTTTTCTTCTCTAAAATTGTCTCCTTTCACCTCCTTTCCTGCT